TCTGTTTATGATAATCTACTTTGCAAAATTAGGTAATATTTCCCCAAAAGTAGATGATCTTGTGGGGTTCAAGATATTTGGTTCACACTCAGGATGGAATGGAGAAAGGAAACTCACGATGTGCTCTCTATATACATGTTGTATTGGATGTACAATGCAGCTTGGTGCTGGGAAGGCAGCATGGTTACAAGCGTGATGTAGAGAGAGCTGGTTGGTGAGGACGCTCAGAGAAGGACAGCTTGTGGGTCGCCATACTCGCCAGCGGGAGAGAGGACCGCCAGGCAGGCGGAGGAGCAAGGACCGCCAGGCAGGAGGAGGTGTTGCTGGCTGGTTGGTGTAGGTAGAAAGAGAGAGATCACCACGAGGTCAGGTCTTAAATAGCGGGGGTAGGCGTGGCTTAGCAGTTGACCCCCGCTCCGTGGTGTATGGCGGCGCTGGTTGACCTAGACCACGAGGCATACACTGGGGAATTGGTGGGGTCGGCTAGGCAGCGACAAACAGCGTTTGTAGGGGAGAATTCCACTACAATCTACTTCCCCAAAAAGTCGATAATCTACTATAGATAAAAGTAATAAGAATAGGAAGACTAAAAATGGGAAACAGTCAACAACCTCCCCATACACTGGGATGTTGGAAAGTTTTAAAAGGAAGCTAGATAGATTTATAGACGATAGAGTGATTGTAACTCTCGACAGTAGCTGCCAAGCACAGGCCAACTGGCCTATTGCAGACTCATTATTTTCTTATGTTCTTATGTAACACTCCTTAGCAAACCCCAATCGTGCAACTGAAAGAGATTCAGTGGTGCTGCTGTATCACACACTCAGCTGATGGCAACATAACATTGATTTTAATGAACAATAGTAACAACAGTGCTGGCAAATTAAGGAATTCAGTGATGTACAGTAATTTTCTTTATGAAGAGATGATGGTAAATCCTTGGCTGGAAGAAATGGGTTGTAATGTTAGGTGTTCTAGTTGATAGTAAAAAGCACCAGTGTTATTTCTGTTAATATTTTTTTTATATAATGTCAAGATTTGTGCATTATAGAAATATTTATTGAACGGGCAAGGGGTGACCTAATTGAGGTGTATAAGCATCTCAAGGGGCACTACTCAGTAGAGTGTCCTTACTTGGAGCTGGCGGACGCTCGCCCCACAAGGGGTCACAGGTCAAGATTGAACAAGCTGTAAGTCCAAAAAACTGTGAGGGCAAACTTTTTCGGAGGGAGAGTTGTGAACTCTTGGAACAATCTACCAGAACGTATTGTGACGGCACCGAGCTCTTTCAAGACAAGACTTGACCAACACTGGAGCAGGTTCAGGTACATTCAGGAGTCAGTGCATGCCCAGTACTTGCTAACAATGCGTAACAGAGACGTGACTGATCGCCCAAGCGGCTAATGAGCCGATCTTTTGGTGAAGAGGATAACGGTAAGGTAAGGTTAAAAAAGTGTAAGAACTTTTGTCTTAGGAGCTCTGAAGGGGATCAGCATTGGGTGCTGCTAGAGCCTGCAGTTTGGTTAGGTTAGGTTTTTATATATTTAAATGCTTTATTCAAATCTGTCCTTAATTTCTTGTACAAATGGGTGGACCAAATATGTATAGTAGCTTCTGTCGGTCTGTATGTTCCTGTCATACCATAAATAATACACCGTTTGTACAGTATATTAGCCTTAGTCGGTCTGTATGTCTGTCTGCCATACCATATATGTATAAAATAGCCTCTGTCAGAAGTACAGGAACAAAACTTCAAATCTTAAACTTCTGAATATTTATCCAGTTGTATATAATTTTTTTTATATAACTCTTCTATCTAAGTGTAAAGAATTACTAAAATATTTACGTTTTTTATGATATATTTGTTATCTTACAACAAGCTTGCATTTGAGATGTATTTATTTATTTATTTTGTAAGGAGATGCGCGTCATACCTGGCGAGACGTTGTTGTTATACCTCAGCTGGTCAGGACGGCTCTCTGCACCGCCCATCAACATGTTCACTAAAGATTTTACTCTGCCCACTGAGGAGGAACTGACGGTGGAGGAGGTCAACGTCAGCACACCAGCACTGAGGGCAGCGGCCTTTCACCTGGGCAAAGCTTGTGAGAATGAGAACAGTGTAAGTTATACCGTGCCACTGACCCGGACCCCGGCGAGCGTTTATGATATGATGTAATTTCATACTTTCTTTTATGAAATATGGGATTTAGTGAAATAAAATAACTAAGAAATGCAGCACATTGGTTACGGAGTTGTTTTTGCCTTGGTTAATATTTAGAAGTCGCCAACACCTACTTATATATTGAGTCAAAGTAAGAAAGAAAAAATAAGAATTTATTCTATAACGTTTCCATCGGAAATTGATATTTTTCGAGTATTTTAACCGATAAAATTACCCACAATATTAGTTGCTCAAAGTGGGCAGGGCTTTGAAGTAGAGGGAAAATGTGGGGTTAAATACTAAAATTAACACCATACAAACCTTTGAAAACCTGATCTAAGGTTTCCTAACTTGTAAAAATAATAACGGTTTATTAAAAGAGCATGGCAGTCAGATGGCTGAAAATATAGTTACATAATTGGGGATTGGGTCACTTGATTGACAAATTGGTAAATTTTTTCTTGAGGACATAGAGTCCCTAGGGGTTGACCAATATGTTATTCCAGTGTATTTTGGTGTGTTTTAAGCGAATCTGATCTTCATTTTTGTCGGAAATTTAGTCCCCCCAACAATAATGGGGGAGAGCCTGGGAAATCGGTATTTTTGGGTGGGCGAGAAAACAAAAACGAGTCATCTAACCTAGCCGGGGGCTCTGCCCCCAGATCCCCGATCTAAATGTTTCAGTGCTTTAAAACTTTGGGTATGCCATGTCCAAAAGTACAATACGGGTGCCACGAATTACCCAAATGTACCCAAAAGTATAGCAAATAAGGGTAAAATCTTAACGAATATCTGTTATACATACACAAAACATGTTTAATAATATTTTTATTGTAATTTTGTAAAAATAATTTGCAAGTTGAAATAATAAACAGCGAAAAACTTTCAGTATTGGCGAACGCTAAATTCCAAAGAGTTCGTGAACAAGGGAGATAACTCAGATCCATCGTGATGCACTTCGCTAACCTAACCTAACAAAAAGTAAATCCTACGGCTATGTTAAATACCCCAAAGTAACAGAAACATCAGTAATTATATCTCCATTTTGGATAGGTGACTCTTTGGAATTTAGCGTTTTTTGCTGTTTATCATTTCATTATTTTGACTAATTTCAATGAAAACATTATTAATCAGGTTTTATTGATGTAAAACATATATTCGTTAAGATTTTACCCTGATTTAATATACTTTTGGGTACATTTGGGTACTTTTGGGTAATTCGTTGGACCGGTACAATACTGTACCTTAGTTAAAAGTGGAAGGACCTCCTCCTCGTCGGACCCTTCCTTGAGTGGCACAGGTGCAGCACGTACTTCCTTGAATGATTACAGAACCACTGGTTCTTGTCCTTTCTATATTTACAAGGCAATTTACAGTGCGGGCACTGAACAGATGTAGGGAGAACACCGTGATTATGTACCCAGGCTGCTTCCTTTGAAACAATTCAAATGTGATTGGTAACAAAAAAAAAAAAAATTGGGGGATGGAATAGATACATATTGGTCACGACTGGATGACGTCAGTCAGTATTGCGCCGATAACATCTACTCCTCCTCACAGACGAAGACTGAAAAGTACTTAAAATCAATTAAATTCAACTGTGTAGCTATTTATCATTTCTGCCAGGTATATATGGGGTTCAAAATGCTCAGAATAGGGAGATCTAAATGTTTCAGTAGTTTATAACTTTGGGGCGCTCTATGTCTGAAAGTAAAATAATACAGACAAATAATATACAAGCAACAGAAGTGATACAAATATGATATATAATAACTAAATAAGGAGAAGGTTATAGTAAGGGCATTTCAACATCATGACAGTGCAAAAAGGTAAGATTGGCTGGGAGTGAACATACTGGTTGATTACGAGTTGATAATTTTTACAATTGTTGGGACTGGGCTGTTCCTATAGGGTTCATTAAGTGTTTGTTCTTTGTTAACTAATATGGTAAATTTTCACTTGCCGCCACTATACAAAATTGAAGTTGAAACTATGTTTTTGCCATGGTTTTTGATGTGTTATGAACGAATTTGACCTTCATTTCTGGCACAAATCAATGGTTTCTGATAGAAGTCAAATTTAGCTGATGTCCATACTGTATTTGGAATGTAAAATTTAATGATATATTGTACTTTGTATCTTTGTAAGAAAAAAAATTGTGAAGAGATGTGTACGAAAGTTACCCTGGAATGTATGTCAGGATTTTATTGGGGATCCTAATTCTCTCATCTCCAGGAATTTATGTTGTGCCGCAGAGAAGAGAAAGACCCCCGCAAGTGTATAGATGAAGGGAAAGCAGTAACTGCATGTTCCCTGTCATTTTTTAGAAAAATTAAGAAGGCTTGTTTAGAGGAATTCAATCAGTATTCCAACTGCTTGGATAAGTCTTCCCGAGACTTGGAATACCGTCAGTAAGTGCTGGGATTTTGTTTATTGCTTTCATTTTATTATGTACAAGAATAATGGATTTTAGAATAAAAATCTGTGTGGTACGTTAAACTCTCATTAGTCTTCTTTTCTTCATGTAATGAAATAAATTACAATTAGCTATTAGAATATAGCTTTGCTAAAGGGATGTAGTGTTTTTTCATATTCTAAGAGTTGTGTACAGTACCAAATATCTTACCCTGGCTATGTATTGCTCACTTATCTATGTAGAGAGCTGCTTCCATCTGAGAGAACAGCCATAATAGAAGGGCCGCTAGGCTTACATACCTGCTTTGCCTTTCCTGTTTCCTATTCAGTTCATGCCATCCAACACACAATGTACTGTTTTTACCTTATTCTCTCGTGATGTAGACATTCTCCCTCTACAATGTTGCCCCTGTACACCCTCCTACTTCCTCATTGCATGTCTATGCTATCTCAACGAATTAACACTCGGAAGATTTTGCCATATACGTACTCAGATTTTCCTTTTAGGTTCAGTATACTTCCTTGTTACCACTATGTGATTTCTTGTCTCTTTTCTTCTGACAAATCTTTGAGACCTCTCACAAAGATATCCTGTCTCTCCTTCACTTGTCCATTGTATGAATGGCATTATCCAGTTTTTAATTAGTTTTATCCTTTGAAAGCAGGTTGAAACAGGCTATGCTTGTGTTAGGACACATCTGTACTGTACGTATACAGTACAGTACTGTATATACTGTGCATTATGAACATATCTGTACTTGATAACGTATATTGTGTAGAAAACATTATACAGTGACCCCTCCGTTAACGAACTCCATCCGTTCCAGAAGGTCGTTCGTTAACCGAAACCATTGTTTCAATGGGTTTTTGGGTAATTGGTTCCAGCTCACCGAAAATTTCCTAAATTCAACAAAAATGGTAGAAAAGTTTACTTACTTTGAGGTGTGTATGTAGAAGGCTCCTGGACGATGATGATGGGATTTAGAATGGGGGTGGAGGAGAAGGAAGAAGAGAAGGCATTGGGGTGGAAGAGAAGTCACCCCATGGTGCCATTTCACCCATAAAATTTTAGCTCTCTTGGTGTAATTCAAGATTATTTTCTTTAAATCAACACTGCACTGCATTATATATTGTCAATATGTAAAATATATTTCAAAATGACCAATAATTTGCTTGGAAACAGAAAAAAGCATTTAGTTGAAGAGAGTCTCAAGCAAGATGTTACCTCCAGTGAAAACAGAGAAAGACTAACGCCTGTTTGCTGTGTTAAGAGGCTGGATGCCGCGCATTAAACTAGTCACTTTACCTTCAATTATGTTCAGTAATTGTTAAAATGACTAAAAAATTGAATTTTAAACTTTTAAAATTATTGAATACTATAAACTTCTTGATATTTACTAAAATAGTAAGGAATTTAAGCCCTAGAACCGATTAATGTATTGGCGGACTGATACTAAAGCTGGTTGCCCGGTCAGTACAAGCGAAAACATGTTGAGGTCGGTTCGTAAGAACTTCGTTAACCGAATTTTTTTTCGTTAACCGAATTGAAGATCCTTATGGAAGGCAGTTCGTTAATCGAAATTACGTTAACCGAGGTGTTCGTTAAACGAGGGGTCACTGTATTTGCAGTCACTTTGTAATAATGATTGCAGAAATAATAATCAATGTAAATGAAGTTTTGTGACCTTGAAGTAATACCCATAGTTGGATGATTTACATGTGCATAACATAGTGTATATATATATTTTAATCATACAGTATTTACTTTATTTATGTTTTATTATTATTTTTAGTTCTTCACAGTCTATATAGGTGTTGAGTATGACCATTATAAAACATGTTAATATTATATCCCGTGCCTCTTCAGTTGCCGCAACACTCAGGCTGTCTTTGATAAGTGCGTTCTTGAAAGCCTGGATCTTGAGCGTCCAGAGTTTGGATACTTCTGTAGACCCAAGATTCTTAATACCAAAAGGTTAGATATTTTTCTCTCATTCTAGCAAGCTTTTTTATCACTGTCAATAATTTTTTCCAGTTGCCTTTCCTGGCGTGTTATTCTTTAATGATCTACTTTCACAACAAGATGCCAGTTAAATCTGTCTGGTGTACCCTTACGTCATACATCACCCCATAAACACTTTTATCATTTACTGCCTACAGTATGTAGAAATGCAATTTTGAGACAAGCCAACATTATATTACCCACTTAGATTGGGGGTACAGCAGACTGGTGGGGTGGATAAATACCAGTACTATTATACAGTATTATGCGAATGATTGACTGGTTACACGATGAACTAATTGTGACAGTAGGTTACAAAGAAAACTCTTTGTAAGTACAAAATACTAAAAGTACAGAGTAAGGGTATGTACTCCAGTAGTAATAGTAGAATGTAGATTTGTAACATCTTAAAAAGCCTCAAGAAGAAGTACAGCCACATGTGAGCTGGTTGGTGTTATCTTCTCCAATGAAATATTTAAGGACAATTAATTATAACTAGGAAATGCATTACCCATATGTTTCATTGTGAAGATTTTCAGTTTGTTATGCTTTTGTAATAATGGATCTCGACAAAAGAAACACAGTTTTAGCCTGACTACTGTATACTTCATAGAATTCACATAGCTAGATTTTGGCACACTGTGATGTGTTCATTTATGTACCGAGACCTCCTGTTAAGGCTTTACCCAAAATATAAATAAAAAGTTTGCAGAAAAAATAAACAGACCACTACAGTATTAACTAAACAACAACTTTGCTTCACTTCACTTGGTACACAGAACCACCTATTTTTCATATAATTTCCTTAACAAGAACCCAGTTATTGTATTCCCATATGGTTTTCATAAGTGACAATACATTTTTCAGGCCGAAACCAGATGTGGATGCTCCTTTGGAGTTTCCTGATGCTCCAGTGCCTCTGCCAGATCAGCCAGCTACTGGTACTGCTCGATATGGCTCACGTTTCTACTGGATGCAGTAAATCATATTTTGTTTATTATACATATTGGTAACAATATGTTCTCTTTTAGGCCATATGCTAATTTACTACTGTATCATGTTCAGTGTAGAAGTTTTAAGTACAGTATAGACACATTATTGTAATTTCAAAATTATTTATTTATCATATGGGGTCATTAAAATTTGCACTTGAAAAACATTTCTCAAAGGTAAAGACACCCAAACCTTTGTACTGTATATATATTGTTATTGGGGAATGTTATGACTAGGCGTGTTTAAATGTACAGGTGATTAATTTAAATAAATATCTTTAAGTAAAAAAAGTATCATAATAATCCTATTTTCAACATTCACCAACTACTTATGTCTGGGTTTATGTTTCCTATTAAAAAAGTAAAAATCGCATTATATCATCGCCAGTGTTTTACGGCCATTTTCCAAGCTTGCATGGGTTAGCTGAGGAACAGTTGGCTCCACTCCTGACTTTACCACTTAGTGTTGCCAATCCTCTTTCTCCCTGAGGTGTGAACCCCCAAACACTGAATTGTGAAACTGATTCATTCATTAGTGAGTGGAGGAGTGTGTCGGGTTTGATGTCTTTTTGTGGGGCGAGACGGAGTACAGTGGTGAGGAGGGGAAGTGTACAAGCGTTTGGAGAAATTACAATACAGAATAACACTTTGACAATAGGGGCTTCGTTAGCTGAGTGTAATTGTCTAGCACTAACCAGATGAAAATGGATTATTGATATGTTTGATTGTATACAAGATGGAACTTCCCCAGCTGAATAAAGTACTGTACAGTCAGTTCTGCTACAATGCGATAGTTGTGTTCTTGTAAAACCTCGCGTTGTAGAAATTTGCGCAATAGAAATAACGGGGCTTATGGAGAAAATAGGGTTAGGTGCAGATTAGTCGAAATAAAAAAAATTTAGTAGTTAGCCTAACACAAAGGATAGCAGTCTAAATAAATGTTACATTCATATCTAATAATGAAATCATACAGTAAATGTAACACTTTACCTTGAAAAAATATGAATATAACTTGATGGGGGAGAAGGGTGATTTTGAGTCATGCAGACAGGAGTTGAGAGTTGTTGTCATCATCAGTATCATCATCATCAGGTGCAGCTTTGGTTGTATGGTTGGGACAAAAAAAATATCTAATTCCATAAGTGGATGGCTGTGGTTCAGTGTCTTCAGACTGCTTCTTGGGGGTTAACTTAAAAAAGACGTCTTATGTTTGCTGCTTTGCCGTCTTTCTTCTTTCACAAAGAAGCTGTTCATAAGGTGCCAAAAAGATTTACCACCACGAACTGCAATCCTGCTCCATTCTGCATTGTAGTCATTGTCTTCCAAGAGCTGCAACTGCTTATCAACTTCCCTCAGGATATAAGACGAAAGAGAGGTGGGAAGCTCTCGTGGTTTTGCATCCTGGACTTCATCATCTTCGGCATCTTCAATTTCCCCAGCAGCAACAAGTTGTTGTAGATCAGCTGTAGAGAGGTCTTCACAGTGGGACTCGGGCAGTTCCTCAACATCAGCACTTTCCACTTCAGCAAAGCCAACTTGCTTTACAAGAGAAACACAATTTTCTTTTATTTTTGGGGGCTCCTCTGATGCATCAAAGCCTTTAAAATCATGAATGAAATCTGGGAAAACCTTCCGCCAAACCCCATTCAAGCAGTCCTTACTTACATCACCCCAGGCCTCCACAATGATGTCAATTGCATGCTTGATGTTGAAACTTTTCCAAAACTGAAGAACACTGGCCTTATCATCTCTTTCCTCAGTAGCTGCAATAAGTTTCTTAAATGTACGCCTCAAATAATAGGCTTTGAAGGCTGCTAATACTCCTTGGTCCATTGGTTGAAGGAGAGATGTTGCATTTGGAGGTAGAAAGAGCACTTTGATATTGTCAGAAAGTTCAGCAATGGTGGGAGGGTGGCTTGGTGCATTATCTAAAATGAGGAGAATCTTAAAATCTATATTATTCTTCTTGCAATAACCCCGCGCCAAGCGACAGTACACTTAAAACGTTTGAGTGGAATCGCGTTACAGCCAACACGCGTTCGTGTTTTACAAATATCGTTCTTCTATTCATCAATCGTGTTATAGCCAATTCGCGTTTACAAAACACGCATTGTAGCAGAAATGACTGTAGTTAAGGAGATGTCGTACTGAAGGGATTATCAATCAAAACAATCAGGAAGTGGGCACCACATATCTATTGTAATACAAGCTTGTGAACAAAAGTAGTTCAGTTGCCAGCAGTCCGGTATAGAATCAACAAACCACATAGTTTAATTGTGCCAAGCAATTAGATTAAATGGGAAACAAATATTGACAGTAATATTATTATAATCTTTATCAAATGAATAATTTATGATGCAAAGCAATATAGCTGTTGCTTAAAGGTCTTTAAAGTAATAAAATTTCTCATGTTGTGCACGAGAGAGAACCCTCGACTCCACCTGCCTTGCCTCCACCACCCAACTCCCAATCGAGGTTGCTGGTCATGGAATCACTGCAGACAATTTACAGGGTAGACTAATGTTGTGTTCTCTCATTTCTATGGGGCAGTTATTATGAGAATACAAATACAAGTGATACCCAGCATTTTAAACAATGGTCACGAACTTGTGAAGTAAAATCATATTTGTTTGATAACCCATTATCTGGTAACTGTATTGCAAAGGCTGACTCATGTCAGGGTGAACTGAGCATAGAATATAGAGACAGCAGACAAGTAGTATAAGGTGCAATTAAAATATTTAGAATGTATGGAAAAGGTCAATTATTCTAAACAATAATAATGTGAATGAGTAGCTGAAACAAATAACTCCAACACCCTGATCACCAGCAACTCTGTCTCTGGGTGCTGTCACATAATTTTAAGAAATGACTTTTCTTAATTTTTCTCCTTATTTGGGTAAGTAATTTCGATTAACCCTCACACCCTCTCCAATGAACAAAATATAATTACAGATCTTAAACTTTAGGTATAAATCAGAAAGTGGAAATACATGTAAAGCAAAGCTGAACTGGATATTTATTGTTTCACATATCTATAGGTCAGTAACTTAAAATTTTAAATCATCTTATTTTCTAACTGAGAACAGCAGTTTCAGAACAGCATCCAGCCACCCCCCTTCTCAATGACCGCCTGTAGCCGTCTGGCATAGAAGCACCATGTTTCCTCACCAGCTGTGGTTTGGCCCACAACAGCTTCCACTGTGCTCTAGTGTGGTCTATTAATGCTGTTGGAGTCCTCCCTCTCTAAATCCCAAGTGTTTACGATCATACTCCATAGATTTCTTTGGGGTTCATATCACAGCCCCTGCTTGGCCAGTCTAGCACCTGTAAGTTGTTGTAAGTGGCAAACAGGGCCGGATTCAGGAGTGGGCAAAGTGGGCAGCTGCCCAGGGGCCTTCACAAATTACAATATTTTATTTATTTGTTAATTTATTTGGATTATTTTCATTCTTGAACAAAAATTATGGGGCTGGGAGGGAATGGGAAATTTCTGTCTCTAAGGGATGGAAGGTAAAAATCTTTTAATATATTGACATACTTCTGTGCAGTAAAGTGACTTTCAATCTGCATCACGTCACCTACCCCATGCAGAGTCATGTAGCCCCAAATATTTATCGTGACTCTGCCACTCACGCCTCATAAATATTGAGGTGATCATATCTGAATAGCAGAAAGTCTTAGAATTATGCTAGTAGACATGGATAACATTGAGAGCTCTTGCAAATATTGGACCCTGTAATACTAATACAGGATAAGTAACAAGAGATGTGAAGAGGGCTCACAAGCCAGGGGTAAGGGGGACAAGGGAGAGAGGTACTCTGAGGGAGAGATGGAATGAAACAGACTGTTTCACCAGCTTTGACGTGCAGGAGGATGAGTTGCGAACAAGGGTGTGAACCGGCTAGGAAAACATAGAGACCTGGCTGTGGTAGTTTTGATCTTGTCTACTTCACTTTCTACCATGAGGAGCACGGGTGATTGAGCGAGTGAGGATGAGTTTGTATTAGTTGTGCACATTTTCTTACGCTGACGTGAGTTGCTTTTGCCCCAGAGGAAGACCAGATAACAGAAAATTAAACAAATGTAATTTTAATTCATAAGTTTGTAACTGTTGCTTGAAGTACTGGGTATCATTTGTATTTGTATTCTCATAATAAATGCCGTATCAAAATGAGAGGACAACATTATTCTACCATGTAAATTGTCTGCAGTGATTCAACTACCAGTGTAGGAACTAGATGATGGAGGCAGAGAGGTTGGGGGAGTGGGTGGGTAGTTGAGGGTTCCTCCTGCACCTTCATCCAGTGCATAATACAGAACTTTATAATTTAACATCTTTAAGCAACAGCTTTACATCACAAATTGCACATTTGATAATAATAATATTGCCATTTTTTATCCATTTAACCTAACTGTTTGACACAATTAAACTATGTGGTTTGCTGATTTTATACCGACTGCTGACAATCGAACTATTTTTGCTAACATCAAGTTTGTTTTACAATAAATATGTGGTACCCACTTCCTGATTGTTTTGATAGCTAATTAATCTCTTCAGTACGACGTCTTCTTATCTATTATACTCTGGCTATCACCAAACGATTTTATTCAGCTGGAGAAGTTCCATCTTGTATAGACTCAAACGTATTCATCATCCATTAGCTCATAAAAATGCTCCTTTTTGCAAAGGAATGCTTTACTTAGAACATGAATTCATCCTATTGTAAATTTAGTATTCTCATCTGGCTAGTGTCAGTTTAGGAAACCCCATCAGTATTGTCAGTGTTAGTCTGCAATGTAATCACCCCCAACTGACATACTGTACACTTTCAGTGCCCCCCCCCTCTCTTTTGTCAATTTCTTAACTCTAATGTCCTTACAACCTCTCCCATGTCATTCTTGGCCTGCCCCTGCACATTTAGACTCAGCCTCTCCACAATCCCAAAGCATCTCGACCTACAATCCCTCTTATGTAAAACTTCACCAATGCAGTAAACCCTTAAACATGGCAGGGGTTAGGTTAATGAAAACCCCGCAAAGTCCCAAAAATGGAAAGTTCACCCACTTTCTCCACCATAGTCAGCACCTTCCTTACCTCGGCAGGTACACCAAGAGCCTCCGCAGGTGCAGGGCCTTTACGAGGAATGGCGAGAGAGTAGGGATACATAAAAAAGCTTTTTGCGGGTACGGGTAACGGTGAGGGTGAAGAAGCGTGAATTCCTCCAAGTCACCGCTAGAGATCCCTCATGGCCAGTAGTGGAAGTTGTCATATGCGATGCACAACCACCCTCCCCAACCAATCCGCGAAGGACGCGATGTTCAAACCCACGACGTTTAAGGGTTGACTGTACACCCTGTACTCCCAATACCTAACTGCCCTCTTAGCTCCGAACAGGGTTTCCTATCTTTCAATGTTACGTTGGCCCATTAGCATAGATTTGTTGTGATTGAAGGGAAGGATGGTTTACAAGACTTGTAGAAATGTGTCTTTGAACATAATCATACAAAAATGCATCTTTTACATCATTTTAGAAAGCATGTTTTTTTAGAATTAATTAATTCGCTTCTTACTTTAAAATATGAAGTCTTTTGGTGAAGTAAATTCACAATTTCACACTATAATTTGTCTCTTAAAACTGAAGCAACTTGCTTGAGCTGCCCTTTTACATACAGTATGTCTTGACAGGCTGACCCATGATGCTAACATTAACAACTGCTTTGTGACTGGTAACAGGTTGATTCTGATATCACAAGCTGTCACATATCTGAGGAGGGAATTAATGTTGACTGAGCTGAGAAGTGTTGATTCTGACCTCATTATCAGATCTCAGTCAGGGGTGAAGGGATATTGGGCCCAGTGAGACTTGGTTGGTCTCTTGATGATGACTTAAATTGACAAAGTGTTGCTGACATACAAGGTTTTCTTGGCTTGTTTCTTTTTTTTATAGATGATCACCAAGAATGTAAACAATTCAAGTTAGATTGTCCAATTGTTACACATTTATAAAGGGAAACAAAGGTGAGCAACAATTATATAAGAAAATACGTACAATTAATGGCAGCAAAGATGCAGCCATGAGCCGATGTTGTTTTTCTTTTTAAATAGTACTGTATTTTATTTCTTATCAAATAACAAAACAAGTTTAACAAAGTCTTATTTATGCATAGATATATGACATTTATTAAATAAACAGACTTTAACCTTCACTAGATATGGCAGAGGAAGCTGTTGTAGAGGCTGCTGCAATTGGCAATGGTGATGCTTGAATTTTAAATGTTTAATAGATGACGTTTATCTAAATAACACAATTTAAATCAGATTTTGTTCCCCAACATTTAAGTGAAGTGATATACATATAATTAAAACTAACTTCAATAGAGGATTTACTTTATGTCTTTTACTTAGGAAATTAAAAGAGAATTTCTATACATCAAAATATATTAGAAATTTATACAAATATTCTTAAAAAGTAAAAACTACAAATATGAGAAGAAAAAATCTGAATAACTTTAAAACCACTACAGGTACTTTAAAATATACAATGTATGATACAACACACACACACACACACAGTGTTTATCGGTGACCGGATAAAACCCCAACAGACAAAACCCCAGTCTCATATATAAAATAAAACACTTTTATGTTTAGGTTAGGATAGTGTTAACAAATGACAATCCCGTTGGGGTTTTGTCATGGAACCGTGTTTACCAGTTGTTGGGGGAGTTTACCAGTCTTAACTGGTCAACTACTATACATCTATTATCTTCGCACATACAGGTAGTCCCCGACTTATGACTGACTCAACTTACGTCCATCGGTACTTACGAACTGCTCTGACCTTACGACCGCCGGGACATACGACCGCCGCAGTCTTGACCAAAAATATTTTCAAATGACGCGCGCATTTTCTATACCGAAACGTTTCGGTCCGGGTGAGAGCGTGGCTTGTTGGGTCACCACATGGGTACAGCTCCTCGCTTAGTTGGTGTTTGGCTATCGTATCCTATACTGATCGCACTGTGAACTTTCGTTATTATCGTATTTAATTGACTTTATAATGACTGGAAAGCGTACAAGTGAGAGTGCTGGTGGTGATCCAAAGAAAAGGAGACAGGCAATTACTTTTGAGATGAAAATGAAGATAATAATGCAGCATGAGAATTGTAAAACAGTAGCAACAATCTCACGCGACCTAGGTTTCTCGCACTCGACCATATCCACTATTCTGAAGGACAAGGAACGTATTCGTGATGTAGTGAAAGGAACAACACCTATAAAGGGAACTATAATTTCGAAGAAAAGACAAGGTCCTATTCACGGTATGGAAAAATTATTGGTGATATGGATAGAAGACCAGATACAGAAGCATGTACCCTTAAGCCTTCTAACCTTACAGGCTAAAGCAAGAAGCCTGTTCCAAAGCCTGAAGGCGCAGGCAGGACATACATCCACAAAGAGGCGAAAACAATGCCAGGATTCAAGGCATTCAAGGACAGAATTACACTTCTGTTGGGGGGGAATGTTGCTGGTTTCAAGCTAAAGCCTTTCATAATCTATCATTCAGAGAACCCCAGGGCTTTTCAACATGTCAGCAAGCACACACTGCCAGTGTTTTATCGCAGTAATAAGAAAGCCTGGATGACCCTAGTACTGTTTGAGGATTGGTTCATGACTTGTTTCATTCCACGAGCCAAGGAGTATTGTCTGCAACAACAGATTCCATTCAAGATTTTGCTGATTTTGGATAATGCTCCGGGACACCCACCACACCTGGACGACATGCACCCTGATGTTAAGGTAGTGTACATTCCACCTAACACTACCTCTATCATCCAACCCATGGATCAAGGTGCTATTGCTGCCTTTAAAGCATATTATTTACGTACGACCTTCGCTCAGGCTGTTGCTGCTACTGAAGGTGAGAAAACGCTCAGAGAGTTTTGGAAGGACTACAACATTTTGTCATGTTAAAGAACATTAGTGCAGCATGGGATCAGGTTACAAAACAGTGCATGAATGGAATATGGAAGAAAGTCCTGAAAAGATATGTGAACAGTTTTAGAGGATTTAATGAAACTGAAGTTATTTCGGATATTAGTAACAAGATAGTGGAGTTAGGTAAACAGCTTCAGTTAGAAATTGATAATGAAGATGTTGAACAGTTAGTTGAAAGTGTAGCAGAAGAGCTCAGTAACGAGGTTCTTATTGAACTAGATGCACAGAAAATTGCAGAGGAAGAAGAGAGACAAAATGTAGAAGAAACTGCACCCCCCAAAAAGTTTTCAGTGAAACAAATGGCAAAGGCATTTGCTACAATTAATAAAGGAATGCAAATGTTTGATGGCATGGATCAAAATTATGAGCGTTATGCCAAAGTTGACAGAATGATCCAAGATGCACTTGCTTGCTACAGAGAAATATATAATGAAAAGAAAAAGCAAACTGTACAGTCTAAATTGGACATCTATTTCAAGAAGTCCCCCAGTGCTGTCTCCTCACGCCCCACCAGTGCTGCCTCTTCACTCCCTCAAGATGATCCAATACCTTCAACCAGCAAGTTACCACAGTACATAAACCTGTCTGAAGAAAGCGACATTGATGACCCACCCAGCCCTGTCTCCTCTTCTGCTTCTTCCAATTAATATAGTCTCCATGTATACCTGTAAATAGAAAATTATGGGGGCCCTGTGTGCATTCAGCTGACTACATTAAAGGTAAGTGCTCAGTCACACTGTATCCATTCCTCATTTATTATTTTTACTGTACTGTATCCATTTCTCATTATTTATTACTGTTACTGTACTGTATTTCATTGTAGATCTATATATATTTTTTATTTTTTTTATTTTTTTTTATTTTTTATTTTTTTATCTATGTCGGACTTACGACCATTCCGACTTACGACCTGGATTTGGGTCCCTAACCCCGTCGTAAGTCGGGGAGTACCTGTATTCACAAATGTCGTCATAACGAAGCTTCATGATTACTGTTTCATCTTCGAACAGCTGCACTGAAGCCTTCTCTTGTTCTTTATGCAGTTGTAGTATTCTGCCCTTCTGTAATGTAAACAAACTCATTACTTGATATAATTGTACACAAATTTACTCTCATTTTATGTATACTGTATACAGTAAAAAGTGTATACTGTATGTTCTCTATAAATGTTCAAGTTTTGTGCATGTATGTCCGGTATGTATGGTTCCATGTCAATTCAACCTCTGGTCAACCCACTCCCTGTCAACTCAACCCGTTAACTCAACTGCAGTCAACTCAATCCCCAGTCAATTTAACGTCAACATCTAGCATTAAGGTGTTTAATAATCATGTGAAATTAACTGGGGGCGTTACTCTTCATATGATCTTTTTCTTTTCCCCTCCATTTAAATTAAAACCAAAATGTCAGAAGACACACATTACCTGTCCTTTGTGTTGGCCTCTGACAACCATAACAATCTGGGGTGGGATCTTAGGTATGACAGTTTCTAGCCATTCAGGATGGACTTCCCTCAAAATCACCCCTTCCTCTGTCAGGCATTCACAACTCTCTGCAGTCTCCACACTCTGCACAATAACCTGAGGTGAATATTAAGGTTTAATTACTTAGTTTCCTACAATACTTCTGGATAGTTTGACCAAAGTGGATCATCTCAATATTATAACAATAACCTATGGAGAATTATAAAAAATAATTAATTAGTCTCCTACAACATGATTTAAATAGGTGGCTATTTCCATATTCTGGCAATAACCAGCTGAGGGTTATCAATGCAGGGGTCCTCACCTTTCACCATAGATGTGTTCTTTGGAAGTGCTTCTGTAAATGAAATACTTTATGATCAACAGACCAATTTTTTCATAAGTTCTGGGGACTATTTTTAACCAAGACAAACCACCACACAACTTCCAATTCTGTACCCAAACTAATAATTTTTCTTGTTTTCTTGATGCTAAGTATCGTCACTCAGTGCATGTTCTGGAGGCACGATGTTGGGGTAAATAACTTGGAACAAGCATTAAAAAGCACAAAACCATCCACTTTGCCTTCAAGCATAAATGTAACATTGATGGTGACCAGACTGATAGGCAGGAACACCACTAGGCAACAGTTTCACTATGCGCAGGAGAACAAGAGTGGCTGAGATCTCCAACACTACTCCCTCCTCCCAGAACCCGTGGGCTAACTACTGCGCACGTAAGAAATGTTTATTCCGTTAATGGTTTTGACCTTATGATAATAATTTTTTTCTACATTCTGTATAAATGATTGTGTAGTTATGTATGTAGCAAAGGAAAAAAAGGATGAAAATTATATATATATATATATATATATATATATATATATATATATATATATATATATATATATATATATATATATATATATATATATATATATATATATATATATATATATATATATATATATATATATATATATATATATATATATATATATATATATATATATATATATATATATATATATGCCAGTGCATAAAATCCCAGCCCCACACCCACTCACCGCTCCACTCTGCCTGCCTCTACCACAATCTGCACACTTACTCCTGTGAACCTAAGAAATTTGTATTCTCTATGTTTTTGACCTTATGATAATCATTTCTTTTATTTTGATTTTTTTGCTTTTAACAATGTGTTAGTCTAGGTTGCTAATTGATAGAAAACAGAGCCGTGAAGGAAGGTGCAGAATGAAAATGATGAAATAATAAGTTGTAGAGTAACTTCCTTACATACTTTGAATAGTAAAATATATTTAAATCAAAACACTTTTAACCATAAGAAATGTAAATAAACTTATAAAAATGTTCACCATAAAAAAGAGGAGATGGTTGTTTGAGACAAATGATGGAGGAGGTGGAGTCAGTCTGACGATGAAAGTGAGGGTTCATACTGCTTTATCACATCTAGTTTTGTTCGAGAGTACAATAAGAGATTTCGTCACTTTATTTCACTTCCACTACCACCATTGCCATAACACTTCACACCCTTGCCATGTATTGTAATTAAAGCAATAAAATGAATACAGTACAGCACTGTACTACGATAAACTACAGTCTGCGATAACACGTTTGATGTGTATGGAATATAAAGAAAGACTGCGAGGGTGGTGAATCCCACCCTGTGTGATGCTACGCCAAGGTGACCGCATAACCACTTATTCTTACTTGAGTGACATAGTTCCGTTTACTTAATCATGTTATATCCAAATCACATCCACATTATGGATAATGTTTGCCCTAATACATTCACCGCGTTATACCCAAATCGTGCTATGAAAACATGCATTATAAGAGAACTTACTGTACAGTACTACAAGCCACTTTCCATGACTCACAAGCCTTCAGAATGAGTCAAAACAAACTATTCAACTGTATACTGTACAAGGAACATACCTTTTCTTTGTGGTATTTTCCTCCTTTGTAACTTTTACTGATCAAGCGAACTCGTAGATTTTCTCGCACCCATGGAATCGCTGGCATCTTGTCTTGTGGCTTCTGAACCTTTTTAAATCCTTGTCTGTTATCCTCTTCATCGCATCCTCTTTTGACACTTGATTTGTAGCTTGAGTACGAGCTCTGAGACTGGCCACTGTACTTGTGCTTTGATAATTCACCCTTAGGTCTGTCATTTTTCTTATGTTCAAATTTTTCATTATCTCCATATTTTTCACTATATTTGGGTTTATATTTCTCACCACAAGTATCAGAAATAACTTCTCTTGAGGCTTCAGTGTGTTCATGTTGTTTCTTCGATCCTTTTATTTCTTGGCCCCTGCTGGAGTACTCGTTTCTGCTTTTACTGTAAGTGTCTTCATTTTTGTGTCTACTGTATGCATCCTTAGTACTGTGACCAGCCATCTTTTCTACATCTCTTAATTCTTTTTTATGTTCTGCTTTCTTTATTTTCTTATCATCTTTAACATTTAAAACTGTGTCTTCTGATTTCACCTCTTTCTTTAATGTTTTCTTCCTTTCCTCACCAACACTGTCTTGGTCAGAACCTTTCATTGGTTTCCTCTGCATTTCTTTTTTTCTTCCTTCTTCCTCCTGAAAGACATTTCTGATTTAACACTATACTAATAAAGTTATGTTCTTTAAATCATGCGTCTCATTCAGGAAAAGTACAGTACCGTAAGCCAGAATCTCCTCAAACATCTTCATTGAACAATTTGTGAGGAACCCAGAATATCAACTAGGTTATCATAATAGTGAAACACAAATAATTTATTTACACTGTGCTAACTCTTACTGGTAAAAGGAATTTGTTTTAAATCTTGGGCAGGGAGGAAATACAGGTAATATACATATCAACTGTTAATCTTTCTCTACCAGCTGGGTTGTTTCCACCCACAACAAGGACTCAAGCGACCAGGGATGATTCAAATGCTCTCCAACTACCAAACACACCAAAATGCCTACCTATCCATCTTCTATTATCCCCAATTAAGGAGAGCACAACAAGTTCATTAAGTCTCATTAGAATTTAAATAGATTTTTGCATCTTATGATTAATATTTTGTCAAACTCTTTATAAGTCATATCCCATTACACAGTGACCACATTCAAGAGAATCGCATGTCAACCATTTTTCCAGATACTGTACCTTATGAAATGTGTTCTGCTATGGTACTGCCTTTCTATAATAACCCTCTAAGACAGGGGTTTTCAAACTATGGGTCCCGACCCTTCAGTGGGTCGGGAAATAAATAAATTGGGTCGCAAAATAAAAATGGGTCGCGAAAATAAATAAGAAAAAATAAATAAAATGGGTCGCGAAAATAAATAAGAAAATAAAAATAAATGCACCATAATTTAGGCTTGGTTATTGTAATGTACACTCCACAGTCTAGGAAGCGACTGCAAGGAGAGCATTTCCTGATTCTTTCTTTACCTCTCATGTCATCCGTTTTGCGCAGAAAAACTCGTAATCGTAGTTTTTTCTCCCGTAATCTAACCGAAGCTCATTTCATATCATTACACTTAGGGTTAATGGGTCGCAATTCAAATTGTTGTTCTGGCTGTGGGTCGCAGTAAAAAACGTTTGAAAAACACTGCTCTAAGACATCCACCTAGCTTAACCCTAGCTTGAGATATAATTTATACCATCATGCATTAAATATAATGAATCATTTATCAAGTACACAAAATTCCAACAACCATCAAATATTACCTTAAATTTGTCATACATATCTTTGTTAATAACCCGCGATGAATCTTTGAACTCCTTCTGTGAAACAACTCTGACATTTAGTTCCACTTCTCGTATCATGTTCTGGGTCACAGCTGCTTTTACTATGAGATGGTCTTCATCCAATGATTCTACCTGCAAGTTTACACAATGTCAAATATATGAAGGCATAGACAAATTAAATTATATTATCTAAACATGAATATAATTTTGAGCAAAACAATGAATAGTGAATTTTCAGTACAGGTAATACAGTAAACCCTCTCAATATTATTCAATAGTAAATCCTAAATGTTAAAAATTACTATTCAATATAAGTTTTTGGGCTGTCAGAACTGCCTGTCTATCCTCTTCTCCTCCCATATTGGGTGTCAGAGCTGTAGAGAGAGAGAGTTCAGTCAACTTGTTGACATGCGGGCGCCATGTTGTTACTAAGCTGATGAAGACGTTTGCGCTCGTACTGTAGAGGATGATGATGTTTATTCAGTAAAATTGTCATACATGTTTAAAATTGGGGAAGCATATTTATAAATTATGTGGGAGACAGCTCGAGGAGACTTCCCACCTGCTGAATAACAATATGGTGCCCGGTTGGCCGAACTCTCTCTCTATCAACGGCTCTGTTGGGTGGGAGGAAAGAGCACCATCTAAGTGTAAAAATTATAACTAAACTCATAGCTGCTAGAGGTCTCCACTGAACTTTCATCTTGTACAGCTTATAAGATTTATTAATTTCGTTGGTCATCATTAATCTGTTACAAAATCAAGTAAATTTTCTAAACCATCAACTCTTCGAATCAAATTCTTGGCAAAATTGGTTGAGACTAATGTAACAGTGGTGACTCAAGAAGCAAGAATTTGTATATCACTAATAATTTTGCAGACTCTGAACATCACTAACATTCTCCAGAGCCTGAACTTTGGTTGATTAGAAAACAAAATACTTCTACCAGGGTTGATCATGTTCTAATTAACACACAATAAAATCTGGTAATTACACATCTTATTACACAGTGCTGGGTATTACAGGATATTTAAATTACCCTATAACTGTACAGTATTGTAATTCCTCTTACTAGATTCTCAATACTGCATAAAAACTACAGGAATTTAATGAATGTAAATGAAATTACACCTGAGACAGATCATTATATTAAGCTAATTTAACCTAATCTAAGTCCTCAGGTAGCATTAAGGTGTTTAATTATCAGGTGAAATAAGCAGGGGGCTAATCTTTATATGATCAACTGAGAATTTCTTTTTTTATAGTCCTACAAATCTTTTGGTGCTGGATGGCCAGAATAAAGAACAATGGATTTCTCTCTGATCCTCTATCAATCATTCACATCGGCTGGCATATTCCAAAGGCATCCCACTACTGTACTGTATTGTAACCTGCCAGTACTTTATATACTGTATCATAATAACACCTCTGAGGATAACAGAGACCTTACCACACCATATGTTCCTCGTTGTCGACCGCTATGAATAAACACATGTGATCCTTTAGTGATAGTTTGCTCCTCTTCCTGTGCACCTCCATTGCCCTCAGTACTCCCTGCTTGACCTTCCATGTTCTTTCCTGCCAACCCAAAAGTTTTCGACGATGGAGTTATGATTTCTACTACTCTGTAAAGTAAAATGAACCAGTAGTAATTTTTTCCGTTACCTTTTGTTACAGTATTATATTTCTAATTAAAGTACAGGTAATTATTTTATCAGATCTATCCTCTATATAATATAATATCACACAGTACAGTACAGTACTCTATTCAGGTATTGTTAAGGTAATAGGAATTTTCATTTATTTATCACATGAAACCCAAAATAGATTAAAATTGAGGGGTAATACTCTACTGCAGATGCTTGAGTCTTGAAAAAGAACAACTTTTGTAGAAAAAATCAACAGGAAAAAACTTTTCTTACGACTAGAATATCCCCCCAAAAGTTCAGAGTAAATTCAACTTTCCTACTTTTGTTTTTCTTCAGCTTCTGTTCGGAAAAAATACAGTCCATCTATATGTGGACAGCATAATTACGACTAAACTGTTAACATGACTACCAGAGAGTGACCAAACCATAAGCAACCAAAAGCATCTCAGCAAATTTTCCATATGAACTTTTAGCAAAATAACACCTTAGCCTACCCAAATTAATCAACAGGGTAACCTAAAATAATGCACTCCCATTCTAAAACAGGTAGGTTTGGTTGGTTTTATCACTGGGCACTGGAAAACGTTTGTGGGTATGAAGAGATGCTGTTCAGGTACGAAATGCTGCCCAGGACAAAACTGCCTAATTATAATATGAATATTTTTGTAAAGCCTTGTTATTTGTTGGTATATTATTAACCTAAAAGAGATTTTATTATAATCAATACAAAAATGTTCAAAAGTTGCTGGAAGTTCTTTGTTTGTATGGAACGGAAGTGTTAAAAACAGTTGATAATGGCGGCATATAGAGCTAATGATTCAATGTAGATTCAAGTTAAGGATAAAAATATTAAAAACAAAAATAGGAAAGCTAATTCCTTCCATTTTTTAGGGGTATTCTAGAGGTAAGAGAAAGTTTTTTCTATGGAAATTTATCCTAAAGTGGCTCCTTCTCACAAGTCAGTTACCTGTACAGTATCACCAAATGAGGTATTATCTGCCTATGTACGTTACTACTTTACCATCTACAGTATATCCAACAAGTTATCTTCCACCCACTCCTACAGGCTGGCCCATACAGTCTCCTGACCATTCTGTTTATACTCTTCTTCATTCATCAACAGAGCACCTTAAAGCATTTACTTATTTTCTAAGAATGTGATGTAAGGCTACATCTTAAATTCCATACAGCATCATTAGCTTCCTTAATGTTATTCGTACAAGCTCACATATGCCTTGTGTTATTCACCTATGGACAAATCCTGGCATACACTCAAATAAGTATAAATTCAAATCATCATCCATAATTTCGTATGTGCTAGGTTCTGCAAATATCAGACAATTAAGGTGAATAATACCAAATTTTGATTGGCCTACTGGTCCCACATGGTGCTACAGAACATCCCTTGAACTAATAAACAATTAAATTTACTGTATTGCAGCTACTACTGTACTACTACTGTACTTCCACTACTACTTGTAGTAATAATAATAATAATAATAATAATGATAGTACCTGTAATAGTAATAGTACGGTAGTTGTTGGTGTTTTATTTCTCCGATGATCATTAATTTTGTTAACAATATTTGTATCAATCATATTAATGGTTCCTGAGAAGGAAGTCAACAATGACTTTTAACACCTGGTATGCAGTAATGAGCATTACATTAACAGCTCAAAGACCACATCACAGAGTAACTTGACAGATGTTTACAGATACAAAAAGAGTTGGTATCCTAAAAGGTGTTACACTCCTTTATTCTCTTATCAAGGAACATGACACACTATCACAGGAGTACACGTACAAACAAAATCAAGCTGCAGTATGTTCCTTTTTTTTTTAGATCTGAGATTAAACTGTAAATAAGATACATACTTTTTATTTCCTCGGCCAATACCTTCAGACTTCTTCCAGCCCATTCCTCTGAGAACTGCTGCACCGAACACTGCTACATCAACCTAAAATAGAAAATAAACAAACACATGAACTAACACACACATGGTTTGAACAATATAATTTAGTAATTCAGCTCATAATCAAATTAAAAATATTTTCACAAAACTCAAAATAGTTTTTCTTATATTCTTTCAAGTTATTTCTCACTTAATGTAAGGTTACCAGACACTGGACCAAATACAGCACACAGACATGAAGCTGTAACACTTCTTAACTTACTTGATCATAATCATCAAGGGAGGATTCTTTACCAAGATCAACTACTTGGGTATCAATGTCGTTTTCCTTTGAAGCCAGAGATATGGTTATGTTTTCTTTTGTACCTCGTTCACTCCAGCCATCCAGCAACCTCTTACTATCTGGAAACAACAAAATGAACGAATAAGATAAACTGAATAATTACAAGATAAAAAGTTTGATACCAAAAAATTTAGACAGTGACCTATCACAAAATAACTCAACAAACATATACTGTACAGGTACAGCATAAGTCGCTTTACCAAGAACAGGTACCTCCTTAAAGTGACTCAACACAGCAACAACAGCAAAATAAATTGACATCAGAAATGTTAGACATTGAGTGAAAGAAAAATGTTTCATATGAGCCTGCAGTGTCTTCCAGGTCTTCTAGCTAGACTGTAGGGGTGTTTGTGGAACAGCAGTAACACAATTAATTCTCACCAATATGTTAGTCTCGGTCCGGACACATGTGTGAAGGGTATTATCCAGTGTGACCCTCATTACCAAACACCACAGGTTTCCCGGTCCACGGTTTCCTCCTGTACTTACACTATAGAGTCCCAGTGGTTCCCAACCTTTTTGGCTGCGACCCTAAATTTCCCAACAATACGGTGTCGTGATCCTCAGGCATTTAATATATTATATAGCTTGAATTTTAATAAAAAATTTGTATGACCATGATAAGTACTATATTTTCTAAATTTTCTGATTTTCTAAATTGTCTGAAGGCCCCTCACGACCCTACAGAGGACACCCCGTGACCCTGATTTGGGAACCACTGTTATAGACCAACCACCAGAACAGCTAGTAAGCTGATGAGTGACAAAAATTATATTAAAAAGAGGAACAATGTGAGCAGTTGACAATAAAAAGGTACATATACAGCATTAACCTTTCAACACTTGAGATCACCAGTGCTGTTCACAGTATTGTTACCAACCTTCCAACACAGCAGCTGCAGCTTGTTCATCCAGGGTTAAGGGTTTAATTTCTTCTTTGTTCATATCCTCATCCAACTCTGTTTTCTTCATGGCTTCCCCATCCTTCTCTTTCTCTTTTTCTTTGGATTCCTTGAGTTTCTCCGCCAACTTTTGGAAGATGGCTGCTCGGTCCACTGCCAACATTGGTATGACCAGTTCTGTCTCAGTTGGCCCATCTCTGAAAATGAACCACTATAATTAATGTTCTCATGAAGATTAGGCCCCCAAAACTTATTTCACCTCATGGTCAAACATCCTAAAGCTACCTGAGGGGGTAGAGTTAGGTTAGCATCTAACTAAACCTCCCCCAGGTAGCATTAGGATGTACAGCGAAGTATAATCATTACCCGAAGAGAAGCTGGTGTTCTTTAAGTGACCCAAAAAATTATTGTAAGATCATTATTTGTATGGAAATGTCACTAGAAGCATTTGTATGAAAAAACTCATCAAGTGCAAGAATGGTATTGGATGGGCGTACAATAATTTCAAGAAGAAAAATGACGGAAACAGGTATAAAATCTGCAATTCCTCCATTTATCTGCAGTTGTATAGAAGCAAGAAAGAAGCAATTTTAGTACAGTACTTTACAATATTAATTGAATAATACTCTGATAAAACCAACTTATGATGAACAGCAACTTTAGGAAAATTTTGGGTAGCTATTGTAATACAGCACCAGGTACTTGAAGGGAAGTGTCTGGCCTTAGCATCAATTTGACGAAATTTTTTCACAGAAGAAGGAGTACAATACTGTATAAGTTTTCTTACCACGAGAAATATACCAAAAAAATGCAGGAGAAATGCATTTTCTGAGACATTGGTTTTGATGAGTGAAATGGGCAGAGGCAGATGGTCAAACATGACCTTGCCATGACCTCCATGTTTAGACTATAGGAATACCTGTAGTTAATTTTGCAGAAAAGAATTTCATTGTATTTTAAAACAAAAAAATAAGACATACCGGTAACTAGTACAGTATATACAGTATTTTAAGTTAGGTTAAGTTTGGTGGTTTTCTTCATTCTGGTGTTAAAATAGATATTGTAGCAGGTACTGTAAATGCAAATATTTCTCCGGTAAGAGTGGAACAGATGGCTAACACCAGTAGGAGTTGTTAAATTTTTCCACAAGCTCGATTGTTGCACGGAAACTAACAAAGAGACGATAATATGAGCTGACACAGCAGAATTTTCGGCAAAATATCTAGAGGTAATTTATTAATTTCTTCATCTACAAAGCATGTAGACACATTATTTTAGTGTCATAGGATCATTTTTCATCATGTCTTACCCCACAATTTCCTTTATCCTTCAAGCCCTGCCCACTACAAGTGATTTATGTTCGTAAATAGAGAAAAATTTAAAAAATAATATTTATAATTAAAAAAAAGTTGTTGCATTGTTTATATTATTTATTAACATCCAAAGAACATATGTGGAAAAAATAAATATAATCAAACAACTCCTTCTGGTGTTTGAAAAAAAAATTCTTCCAGAAGCAAGCTTATAACCTGAGTAAGTGTTATATGGGTTGTGTATACAATATGTACCAAATTAACTAAATACTCATATTAATTGTGAGTTTTGTACAGTTACTGTCTTCCAATAATTTGCTGTGTTGATTAGATTATGTAGTAACCTATTCTAAACCTTTTTCTGTTAACCGTTAAGTTTACCATATTTCTTTCTCATTAATTTACTTTATTTATGTTCTTCTATTATATATTTTATTTTTATTTTGCATTTGTGTATTGTCATAGATACATTATTTTGCAGATGAATCATCTGTGATGGCTGCATTCCAGGATCAAGATGAAGATGGTCATCCTAGCCACTCTACAGAGCCAGCTTCAAAGAACATTGGAATCCACGTACATAAGTCAATTCATTAAATTCTTTTACAGATTAGTAATACAGGTACAGTTGAGTCTGGATTTACGCAGTTTTTGTTTACGCGTTTGGTCATTTACGAGGCACCTTGCCAAAATGAAATGTTTTAATTACGCGGTAAATTTCATCATTTACGCGGGCGAAGTATAATTTGTTTATTTACTGAAGATATGTTTTTAGCTCATAAAATATATAATTTACATTTCTGGAATCCTTAAAAGATGGTGATCATTTTAAATATAAACATATTAACATTTGCATTAGACATACAAATTTTAGATGTAATGTAAAATGATGAAAATTAGCAAACATTTTATCTTTTGTGCAAAATATATGACGTTTACATTCAAAATATTCCCTGTCCTGCAAGGAATCCAGCAATGTCAATTATATTATCCTAACTTTAGTCTGAGGTATTATTTATTACTATACCTTAAAATCTAGTGTTTTCACCCAAACATTTCTCAGAGCGGGAAGAGCCAGCGAGCGTGGGGGGAGGGGGGCAGCTGAGTCCATTATTTGAATGGACATTAACCGGGCGACTGTATTTCTCTTAAATATTAATTGTGTGTGCATACCATCATAAAATTAAGATGTTATTTTTACTACAACGTAGGTATTGTGTCGGAAAAAGTGGAGTTTGGGGGTCGGCCCAGTCTCTATTTCAATTAATCTCATATGTTCTATTATTTCATTTACGCGTTTCTCGTTTTACGCGGGACTCCACGGGTTTAATTGACTGCGTAAATGCAGACTCCACTGTACTGTTCTTCAAATGTTTTACCATACCATTTCCTAACTCCTTCAGTTTGGTTCTAGTTTTGGTTCCAGAACCTAATCTTGTATATCACATATATTCTTTGCTTTACCTTTACTGCATCCAATGTACTGCGCTACAATTCAGGTGCAGACACCATTAGAATCAAAGGCTGTACAAGTAAGACTGTTGCCATTTCAAGCTGATGCAGCCTGCAGTACAAACACCTCTGATTTAACACCAACCTAAACAAGGATAAAAGTATTGAAGCAGTGAAGTTTGGTGCCCAGACATTGTTGTGAGTCGCCGATCAGCTAAGCAAATCATTTTGACTGGTGACGTAACAACCACCGTGTTGCCGATTTGAGGCGCCTCGCCATATGGTCAATTTTGAAGGCTTTTTTCTCAACTTTATGAAATTATTTCGTGGAAATACATTTAAATCAGATTATTTTCATTCCCAGTAACTGTTTCTTAAAATACCTACGACTGTCAACCAGTCTATTCGCTGCATGACCAAAATGATAATACCGGTAAGGTTAGGTAGGTTTCTTTGGTTGGTTAGGTCAGGTTCTATTAGGATCTATGCATTTTTTTTTTTTTTTTAATACTTACAGTCATCCAAAGAACGTCTGTAGAAAAAATTAACAAAACCGAGCAACTCCTTCTGGTGTTAGCTGTCTGCTCCACCCTTACTGTTTCACGAGGTAAGAAAGCTTTTATCTAATATGATAAAATTTTGTCAGTTTGCAGGTAAGGCTGTACCCCTCTCATCAAGCCAGGCCTGGTCTCTGTGAGGCAAGTGCCCTCCCAACCCCATAGACAAATGCAAATGACCCCTTGGGGCCTGGTGGTATTATTATGCAGTTCACATAATTTAAACATTGAGGTATCAATAAGGATAGACAGTATAATTTACTGTTTGGTCCTTCTGGCTTCTCGGTAATTTTTACTTTCGGACAAGAGTCCCTAGGGGTTGACCAATATGATTTTCCTGTGTACTTTGGTGTGTTTTAAATGAATCTGACCTTCATTTTTGGCGGAAGTTGCTAGTTTTTGCCCCCCCCTCGATAATGAGAGAGCCTGGAAAATCGAGGTTTTGGGTGGGGGAAAACACGAAAACTAGTCGTCTACCCTAACCTAACCCAATCCCTAGCTGGTGGCTCTGCCCCCGGACCACCAGTAGGCTTAGCTTAAACTAAACTAACCTATTCATTTCCAACTAATATAAATGGGGTTAAAAAGACTCAAATAATGAGATCTAAATCTTTCAGTAGTTTTGAACTTCGGGGCGCTCCATGGCCGAAAGTACAGTATACCCAAGTTAAAAGTGGAAGGACCAAATATCCGCCACACACAGCCACCGTCTGAGTAGAGAAGAGGCTATTGAGCTGGAGTCACAGGCGTGAGCCTCTTCCAGATCATCATCTGTGAGATCTGTGAGTATAAATTGACAGAAATATTATTATACCAACGTTTTGAGGACATTTTCCTCTATGGACTGAAGAATCTCAGTGGTGTCCTTCACTTCAGGAAGCGCGTCGCTCCTTATTACTGACGGCTGCAGCGACTTCTTCTCTATCTTCCTCGAGAAAGACAACGTGAACTTTTGTGCACTCATCTTACCCAAGACACGAAATATCTGAGTAAAAACTTGAAAGTTCTTAATCGCTGCACCAGCACCAAAATATATAAGAAGACGGAGGGAAGGGGACCTGTATTATAACACCAGACACCTGCCTCCACAACACCGCCATCTCTTGGATAGATTGTAAAGCTTGTCTTGTACAATACTTTTGGCAGCGTCTAGACTAAGATACTCTAGACTATTTTATCTCATTTATCTAAAGACTTTAGGCTAAAGGCCATGCCGAGGGAAGAAGGCCAGTGACCTGTATAGATCTCTCAAGCAATAAGGATGCGTTCATTAGAGTGAAAGCTAGCGATTCATTCTCCAGCCATTGATGATGGGAGATAAACACTTGCTCAAAGCCACAACCTTAGTGTCCTTCCTCTTTCTCGCTTGATTTTTTATATTATTATTATTCTGATAAACAATGAAACATTGGCCAAGGAGCTGCGCTTCTCGACTTTTTCGGTTTAAGGAAAGGGGCCACTGGCAAAAGAAGATGCATGTTTCAAACACATGTCCCTGGTATTTTTGCTCCTCGTCTAAATCTTAAAAAGCTTTAATTGAAGAATTATAATGAAGGTGTTTAAGGAAGAGACTATTGTAGTGGATTTCTCTCCTACAAACGCTGTTTGTCGCCGAGTAGCCGATCCCGTGAAATCCACAGTGTGTGCCTTGTGGTCTAGGTCAACCAGCACCGCCCACGGAGCGGGGGTCAACTACCTACCCACGCCAACCTCCGCTATAAAAGACCTGACCTCGTGGTGAACTCACCCATCCAAGCGCACTCACTCTCTAACCCTCTCTCACCATGAACGGTTGCGTGTTTGATAACGTGGTGCGGATACGTCGACCTGCCCCAAGAAATTAAACCTCCGAGTTCTCAAGAAGTTCTTTGAAACTAATGGGATTGTGGGGGTCACCAAGGTGGAACGACTGAAGCTCCATGGTGACATCAAGATTACCTTCGCCGAGAAGGGTATGCCCGTACAGCCCGCAGAGATCCCAGACATCAACGGCATTCCATTTAAAATGATTGCCTACAAGTGGGGCAACCTGAAGCTGGGAGTAATCTCCCACGCCAAAATTGCCCACGTGGATCAAGCAGAGCTGAGTGAGCTCCTCAAGGGGCAACTCCAAGTTGTGAAGAAGCTGTCCGACACCACTGCCCTCATCGGACACCATACAACCTTACCCAAGGAGGCTCAACTGGCGTGGGTAACTGTTCCAGTCAAGCCCTACTGCAGACCGAAACGCTGTTACAAATGCCAGCACTACGGACACACTGTCAACAAGTGTGAGGCGCAGGAGGACACCTGCTCCCTGTGCGGCAGCCCCAGACACCGCTACACGGTCTGCCCCAACACAGTAAAAAAAATGCGCTGCCTGTGGCGGCCCACACTCCTCCGCCGATCGGACCTACCTGAAATGGGAGGAATGCAGGATAGCCAAGGCGCGACTCGACAAGAAACTGAGCTACAAAGAGGCCCTCCTTGCTGTACGCTCCCAAGACAAGAAAAAACCAGCAGAAAAGAAAAACCAAGAAAAGAAAACACAAGAAAAGACACCCGCCACACAGAATCAAGAACACCACGAAGCCCATGGAGCTGAAGCCCACGTGGTCAACCTCACCGTCTCCGACTTCTTCCACACCTATGAGGACTTAAGACAAGAGGAAGACGAACAACAAGACCCAAACACGAATGAATGGACACTTCAAGAGAGCAAGACGAGGAGGAGAGTTGGAAGAAAATCTACATCATGCTAAGAAGAATACCAAGACATTTCCTCCACACAAGAAAACAACACACACAATCTAGCCGACCAAGCACTGAGAATCCATGGCCCAACCCAACACGCACCTGACGTTAGCCTGACTGTCCTGTCGCCTCCTGGCCGCGTCCGGGCGAGTTGCTGCTGCCTCCAACTTACACTCCCTCACGTAAGCAGTGTTTAGCCACTGCACCTATTCTCTCCTCCTAAAATTCACTTCAATCCCCCCTTTATTCTTCCCCTGAACCTCCTTCCCCCGTCACTAGCATTTCATGTTCATGACCTCTCTCTTCTTCTAGCTACAGCCGCAGCAAGCTACACCACCTCCTCCGCCGCTGCCTGGCGGCTCTCGCTCCCACCGGCGAGCATGGCGACCCACAAGCTGTCCTCCTCTGAGCATCCTCACCAACTAGTTCTCTCTTCTTCTAGCTACAGCCGCAGCAAGCAACACCACCTCCTCCGCCGCTGCCTGGCGGCCCTCGCTCCTGCCGGCGAGCATGGCGACCCACAAGCTGTCCTCCTCTGAGCATCCTCACCAACCAGCTCTCTCTACTCAACGCTTGTAACCATGCTGCCTTCCCAGCACCAAGCTGCATTATACATCCAATACAACATGTTTACAGAGAGCACATTGTGAGCTTCCTTTCTCCATCCCATCCTGAGTGTGAACCCAAACATCCAATACCCCCACAATATCTTCAAATTCCCTGGTTATTTATCTCGGAGACTTACTTATTGTCGGGTGTATCTACAGATCCCCAAACTGTAGCTTACCCAACCAAAGGAACTTAAGAGCCTTAATAGACAATGCAGCGATGCTCAACCCTAGCTACCGCCTTATCATAGGTATAGGGGACTTTATCAACGGCGACATCGACTGGAGAAACGAGATCATGCCAAATATGGGCATATATAAATCACCAGCAACAACCTAAGTAATACTGTATGTTCGTGTTAAGTAACTTTATTGAAAATTTCCCCTGGCCAAGAATATCAGCAGTTAGTCCAGGCTCCATATTTTACCTTTAAAAACGAAGTTTACAACTATACATCATGCAAGCAATGGCTTATACTGTAATTAGACAGCAGAGCAGTCAATCATCTGTGTTGGTTATGCATTTTGTATGATTACTTGATGGATATTTGGGTCATGTGTGCAAGGGTACAGATGAGAGATTTGTATAATTGCCTTGCTTTACTGCAGTACAGTATATGGTAATGACATGCATTTACTGCATTTTTGTTCAGTAACAATTACCGTATATTCAGGGAGATTCAGCAGACTGAAATTACTGGACTTTTCCAGGACAATTTCATAAAAAATCCAGGTACTATACACCTTTTCAGCTGTTACAAGAATTAATATGATATAACGGGTCTTTCATTTCCTAATGTCTATTACCTACACCCGATAAATCTGTTTATGAAACAAAACCATTATGCGCTTGCGAGACCACACTTGGATTACGCAGTTCAGTTCTGGTCACCGTATTACAGAATGGATATAGAATCCTTGGAAAGAAATCAGAGGGGAATGACAAGACTAATCCCGGGCATTAGGAACCTTGAGTACAGAAACAGGTTAAAGCATCTTAATTTGCACTTCCTCGAGAGACGTAGAGTGAGGGGCAATATGATAGAGGTGTATAAATGGATGTCAGGGCTAAACAAAGGTACTCAAACTATACAACCAGCAGCGAACTCGTAACAATGGTTTTAAATTAGACAAATTTAGATTTAGGCGCGAAATAGTAAACATTGGTTTGGAAATAGAGTAGTGGACGAGTGGAACAAGTTACCAAATATCATCATTAACTCGAATATGCTGGATAGCTTCAAACATACTGTAGGTTGGATGGATATATGAGCAATAGGGGTTGGGTGCAAATGGGACTGCCCAGTATGGGCCCGCTGCAGTTTCCTCCATTCTTATGTTCTTAAAGTACCTGTAAAAGAGTGTGAAGCAACATTGGGGCAAAGAGATTATCAACTAAAGGTGGAGTTAAAAAGACAAAAAATACCTTTGATTCCACCCCATCTAACAGTTGGACAGAAGACCCATTCCAGATATGAGAGCAGCACCCAAAGTTAGGACGAATGAATTCCTAATAAAACTGAAGCAACTGCTCATGAGTGAAGTAACTACGGCTTCTGTACAGCATTCCCAGCTTTCAGGCTGAGCATATATATTTTAAAATTTGGCAAAACAATTGCATCCTGAAATGCAAAACCTTTTTGATCACTAAATCACTGAAAGGATTAGTGTTGTCAATAGATAGCCGAAGTCATACCACACTGCAGCCTAGCAACAAGGAGCACTACCAACTGTCAGGATAAATAGTTCCACTTATTCAGCAATAAGATCAATATAATCATAAATTTAATAGAATTATTGGAAAGGCTATTACAGTAGTGTACAGGTATTGTACTTGATTTTTATATGGTGGGTGGGGGGGGTCAACTTATTGGGTCAGTATTGTATACTGTACTTGGCATAAACCTAATCAAATAAAAATCAGACCATGAAAATACTCTAATTACAGTAATAACATATTCCAAGGTTGTCAAATGAAACTCCATTTCCAGGCCCAAAAATAAATCCCAGAAATTTTTAGGTTTTCAAGAAAGATAGCCACCATGATAGGTTCATATTGTAGGAACATTCTGAAATATGATGATACAATGTTCAGTCTTTATAGTCAAAATGCAATCAGACCATGACCAAACGTGTGATCATTCCAAAAGTTAAAGATTTCATAACTCTTACCACTTTGCCTAACTGGTATGTAATACACTTGCTCACCTTTGGACAGTATACCTTTTTTATTAGGTTCTTAGTTTTTGCTACTTGTGATATTGCTGTTAACTGTATGAATTTTAGCAATTAATATTTCACTGTTTTCCCTTAAGGTCCCTACAGCAATGCACTCATTGCTGTAAAAATTTTATTTGTCATAACATTTTAAATATTGATGCTTTTGTCTTTTAGATCTGATGATGAACAATTGTCCGTGTCACCAAATATGTTGCTGTTATTCCAGACATCAGTGGCATTATTCTTCCTACATACACAATTCCCAAGGAGTAAACTTCATCAGTTACATATCTTCTCGCAATATTTGTATGTACAGACAGTCCCCTACCAACGACTGGGATACGTTCCCGGACCGTGATTGTAAGTTAAGGTTAGATTAAAGCACAACCCTGTCGACACTAAACAACAATAATATCCTATACATAACAAATAATGTAAATAGTGATGTTAAACAAAATAGAATTATAAGAATACATAGTGAAAAAAAAGGGATTTTAATTACAAGATTTTGGTATGAATGTATTGGGATCCCATTCATAAGTGTGGATAATTGTAAGTCAGACAGTTGTAACTTGGGGACTGCCTGTATAACAAGGACATCAATAACCTCTGTTCACAGTTGTCAAACTTACTGGTTTTTACACCCTTAGACATATCTCACTGGTCAGAGAAGAAAGAACATTTCTCTCTCTCGGGAGCTCTTAATCATGCTTCTCATCATAACTATATATTTGTATACGTATATATACACTTGTAAATGAAAAACAAACAGCAACGTACTTCAGAAAATTCCCGTCACTTAAAAAGTGACAAATACCATTATGACAATATCACTTAAAGCGATTATTATATAATGTATAACATTGTATACAGTACAGTATATGCACACACTTTAGTACAGTAAAAAGAAATGCACATTGGTCCAGTGATTTTATTTAAGCAACTGAATGTAAGTGATCTGTAAAGTAGATAAAGGATTGTGGCACAAGTAATAATTAAGATAAGGCAAAGGCATCAGTTTTGTTGCTAACAGTCATATATACATCACAATAGATTTTTTGAGTGTTTATAGGATAAAAATTACAAGTGTATGTTAAAAGGAAAGACCAAGTAAAACAGTACAAATGTATTAAAAAAAAAATACAAAATTTGAAGTGGAGACAAAGTATTGAAATTTACTATTTATAGTACAGGTATTAATGAATTAAGTTTGGGGCCTTCCGGTATTAGAAGTGCAAATGCCTAGTACCTGTAATAAATTTTCTTTAATAACAACACAGGGATAGATGATTTTATATATATATATATATATATATATATATATATATATATCATGTTAATTAAAGGCAATATATATATTTCTTTAAAATAAAAAAACTGAAATTTAAAGCAGGAGTCTCCCAAAAACATGTACAGTGGGGTATGCTATAACGAATCTAATTGGTTCTAGAACCTTGTTCGTTATGGCATTTGTTCGTTATAGGATTAATACGTTCCAGGCCCCCAAATACAACCATTTAACACTGAAAAATATAATATAAAATTGTAAAAAAGTGCATAAATATGCATCTAAACCCCTGAAATAAAGAGTATCATTAATACTTGTAATAAAAAAAAAAAAAAATTAATTTTTTTTAAATAATGTTCATTGTAGGAGTTTCGTTAGTTATAGCATTCTCAATTTTATAGGTAAAACCGTTCGTTATAGGAATATTCGTAGTAGGATCCATTCGTTATAGCATACCCCACTGTACTGATTTGATGCAATAAACCTTATTTCCTTTAAAAGTTACTGGTTTTGGCTTGATGATAACATTCTTATATCAAATATTTAATTTATGCTATCTACAGTACATGCACTTAATTATTTTTTGTCTCTCGACATTACTAAACTTAAAATACAAAACCCCCAAAATTATTTATTCTTGCACTTTTTCATACAGTACTAACATTCAATTCAAATAAAAAAACAGCAAAAAGAACCAGTGACCTCACACAAGCAGATATTTTTTCACCTCTGCCAGTTAAGTTTTACTTGTCAACAACAAAATTACTTCTCTAAATAACTAAGCTTAACTTTTATTTCTTATACAGTACTGTATACCATTTAAAACTAACCTACAAAATAAAATTATTAAGCCCATTCTTTGAAATACAATACAGTATATACAAATGCACAGAAGAAAACAGAATTCAGACAGAAAATGAAGAATTCCAATCACACATTATAAATAATGTAGCCAGGTACTTATGAAAGCATTGTACTCTTTGCTGACAGCAGCAGCTTACTTTCGAGAACGAGTCCGTCTCATCCTGCAAAGAGAAGTTAAACTCGGTCAATTGATATAGTGTACAAATTCTTCAATCCTTTGAACTAATATGGTTCTGACACCACACCTCACCTCAGTAAACTTTCTACAGTCTAGAAAATCCCATTAGAATTTGATGTAGCACAAATTGGTTATCACCAACAATACTGGTAAACAGCACTGCCTCACTTCAAGCACATATTAACAAAATGGCTCAGTTGCACATCCCTGTGTTAACCAGACTGTAAAACTCTGCTAGAAAATTGAGTACAATAGGCTTTCACAAACCTTAAAAAATATTACTTACTCAGTCACAGCCACTGGTTTTGTATTTTTAAGTCTTGACCTTGTGACAGGTGTAGTTTCCAACCTGTTGATAGAATACAACAATGAGATTCATAAATATATAATAAATAATGTTAACATGACAGATTGTGGCTTACAAATAATTTTCACTCAAAAAACCGTAGAATGAGGTTTCACAACAGCTTGAAAAATCAGTCATTGTTACTTACTCAGACTCCTTTTCCATGAGTTTACGTCTTGACCGTGTGATTGGTGTGGTGTCCACCCTGTTGAAATGAAAAAGAAATGAGATTTACATAGCAAAATCCTTTGATAGCAACTAATTTATTTCAAATATCTGAGAATAACCAAAGAAGCATTTCAAAAGCAATTAAAAGCACAAACTTACTCATCTGTTGTCACAACAGCTCTTCGTTTACGCTTAGGTGTTTCCACAGGTGTATTGTCATTTTTGCTGCTTGTCTTATGTTCAGTCACTTCATGCCCATTGTCTTCATTCTTCTGGGACTTGTTCTTGTTGGCTTTAGATGATGACTTCACAATTTCTTCCAGTGTAGTTTTATCATCACTCTCTGTATCTTTTGATGCAAGGTCAATTTCTTCCTGCACAATGTCCAGAGCCACTACTACTTCTTGTGTTGTCTGGGCATTTGATTTAACAACTCTTTTCCTTCTAGTGAGTGGAAGTTCTGGCACTGGTTCTTCTAGTATTTTGTGGCCCCGTGTGCGCCCCCTGCGTGTAGTTCGCACTCCTTGCTCATCTGATGAGCCAGATGTACTTTTATTTTTATCCTGTGGACTGGGTGACCTTTTATTATTATCCAATTCTCCTTTGGTTGAGAGTATTTCAAGTTCGGTCACAGCCTTCCTCCTCCTGCTTCTCACAGATACTCTATCTTCCTCTGGTGCCTGCTCAGCTCGGGAGCCTACCTCTGTTTTTTTTACTCCACCTCGTGCCCTGGTCTTTCTCATCTTTGGAGCTGTAGGTTCAGGAGTTTCTAAGATGATGCCTGAATCTACCTTTACTGCTTCAGTATTATCGTCACACTTTAGTTGAACCTTTGTTGAGGAATTACTCACTACAACTGCCTTCCTTCTCCCCCGGCTGCTTCGAATTGGGATTTCTACCTTTGTCTCTTCATCTTGAGGAAGAGAATCCACCGGGTTTCTTCTCTCCTGAGTTGAAGCAGATGCTTCAGGCATTAGTTCCCCTCCCTCGTCATCCTGTGTTTTATCCAATGACACGCTTCTTACTGTTTCTGGCACAACCAGCAAAGCCTGTTTGGTAGACTTCTTCACAACATCCGTTTTTGTTTGGATTCTCTTTCTACTCTGAGATTTGGCCTGTCTACGATTTCGTGTTCTGGTCGGCAGTAAATCTGGCAAGCCATCCTCTGTGACTTCCTTTATCTTAGAAGATTCTTCCATTGATTCTATGTCAATGGTAGATTCATCTTGAACCTGAACGGGACCTGCCTTATTTATCATGTCCATGTCTTGAGTTTCCTCCTTGCTGATCTTTCGACTCTTCCCCGATTTTTTCTTTGTCACAGGGTTTTCATCTGATAAACGGACATCTTTCTTTGATCTCAAACTACGTTTTGGTACAACGGGAGACGCTTCAATTAACTCCAGTACACAAGCGGCAATATGATTAGGAGAACTGTCAGTATTTTTATCCACCCCCTTTCGTGATCTTCCACGCCTAACAGGTATATTGGTCTCTTGTACATCAACCTTGGCGTTTCTCTTAGATCTCCGAGGTGTGATATCTCCACCTTCTATCTCCTTATTTATTACATCCATTATTTCTTTGACTCCTGCAGGCGGGATGTTTTCAGATGGAGAGCTTGTGGCTGGGGTAATAACCTTTGGAGAGCTACGCAGCTTCCTACCAGAACCTGGAGTAGAGGACTGTTGTACCAATTCAACAACTTTGCTTATTACCATGTTGGTATGATCTGATAGTGGTGTCTTCAAAAGCTGGTCCAGTCCCTCAAAATCTACTTCAAGAGATTTATTAAGAACTTTGGGTGTTCTCATCAATGCTCTAATTCCATGAACATTTGTATAATCAGCCTCTGGCGAATTTACAGGTGTGTGTGGTGTAACAAGAAGTTTTTTCGCACCTGCCACATTAGTATAATCTGATAAGGGACTTGCCTCCCTTTGTCTTGGCGTTGTAAGGAGTTTCTTCAATCCACCTGGTTCACAATAATCTGCAAAAATTTCCTGGTTTTCTGGGTTTCTCCTTGGAGACCTGAAGAGTTTCTGAAGACCCTGAATTTCAGTATAATCACAAATAGGCTCCAATTCATTTGTGTGGTTTGGTGTTCTTAGCAGCCTCTTCATTCCAGCAACATTAGTGTAATCTGCTGTAACTGGAGGTGGAGATGTTGCTTTAGGGGTTTTCATAATCCCTTTCACACCAGCAACATTTGTATAATCTGCTTTTGGACTTTCTGGAGAGAGTCCTGGAGTACGGAGTATCTTTCTTATTCCAGTGATGTGGGAATCGTCAACTTTATGTTTCATAACTGACACTTTTGGAGTCTTCATTAGTTTTCTGACTCCAGCAACATCTGTATAGTCTGGTTTTGGAGTATCAGAAGTCACATTAGGAGTTTTTAAAAGCTTCTTTATACCAGAAACATGGGTATAATCTGCCTTAGGACTTTCTGTTAAAGGTTTTGGAGTTCGGAGTATTTTTCTTATTCCTAAAATATGTGCATCTTCTGCTTGGTGCCTAGGAACAGCTGCTTTTGCTGTTTTCATTAGTTTCCTTACACCTATTACATCTGTGTAATTAGCCTTTGGACTCTCTGACAATGGCCTTTGAGTTCCAAGCTGCATACCATCTTCAGCTATTGCTTCTGCATCAACAGAATCATTGTCACAAGGCGTTTCGTATATAGTTGTAATACCGCTAAGTTCTCTGTAATCAACCTTGGGTGTTGAAGCTGCAGCTCTTGGAGTACGAAGTAATCTCTTTGCTTCAGGGACACTGTTGCTATTTTCTTCATTTGTCTTTGGAGATGAATGGTTAGATCTTGTACTCACTGGTGAAACAAAATCAACCTGAGAAACTTCAGGTGTTTGGGCATTTTCAAAATCAAAAGTAGTTGCATCAGAGTCTAATTGCAAAACTTCTGGAGACAGTACCATTGACTTGCCACTTCTGAGCAAACGCTCTGGAGTCTTACTAGAAATGACAGGAGTGGCAAGAGGGGATATGAATTTATCCTCTGTTACATTTGGAGTCTCAACCGAAGAAAAATCAAAGTTGGTCATGTTAGTAAAAGATGTTGAAGTGCTGATTCGTGACAAAGATCTTCGGCTAGTAGATTGAGGAATGTGGTTCATTCTAGCTGGTGTGGTTGGGGACTCGCTCAAGGATTTCATTAATTCAACAGCCACATGCTTTTCCCCTTGAACCTCTGGACTAGCCATTAGTACATCTAATCCTTCCAGGTTTTCATTATATCCAGTGCTACTGCTACCGCCTATTGAACCAGCTTTTAGTAGACCCTTGCGACCCTTCCGAAATAGTTTTGGAGTCTTGCTAGTTTTCTTGTGGATGAATATTGGGGCGGGAGAGTTAGCATGGCCCATTGTCATCTTTCCAAACTCAAAACTTTTTGGTACCTCCTGGAGAAAGACAGTCCTCATTAGAACTTGGATATTTTAAAATTAACATACACAGAAATGAACCTGAAAATGCACTATATTTCATACTGGATAATGATCACCAGGTTCAAAAACGGTACAAAGACAAATGCAAAAAATATTAAATGAGCAATTAAAATGATGCCAAGATGGTGACAACAGCTATTCATTTAAGAAAAATTATGAAGTAAAAAACAAAATAAAATATCTAAGCACTTAACATCTTTCTGCACAAATGTGGATTTCCTCAGGATCTCACCTCAGTGTTAGTGAGAGCTTGTGAGGATACGACAAGAAAAATTAAAGTGAACATGAACAAATGTGCAGTGACGAAATTTGGCGGAGTTAACAAGTGAAACGGGTAAAGACAGAAATGGTAAGAACATCCAAAACCTACCGTAGAAAACATATTTTCAGGCATTTTTGCTGCTCCCGTAGTAGACTTTCTCTTGGACCTCGCAATTCTAGCTCTCGGTACCACCTGCTTTGTGCGCTCCGCCCTGGAGGCCGGTATACCATTAGTCATGAGACCCTTTTTCAATGCATCGGCAAATGATTTCTTTGGGTTTGCTGGTGTTTTACTCTTGGGAGTTCTGGTCTTACGTTCTGTAAAGACAGGTTACAACAAATCCATATATCAACTATCTTCAACATCAGTTTCATATGTGAATTTTTACACTGTTAATGTATACAGTACATATATTGTACTGTACTCTGTGTTCTTAAACTCTGCTTTGTTGTTATTTTAATGTAGGTACAGCAGGGCCTTACCATGTGGGGGTTATGTTTAGTAACATCTCTCATAATAATAAACTATGAAAAAATTCTATCTTGACAGTTTCCATACACTTTCCTTATTCTTCACCTTGGAGCAATCAAAAAATACACCACACTTGAAGCAAGCATAATCCTCCCCCCAAAAAGAAAAAATGCCTTAACACAGAAGCATATAATGCAATAATTACCTGATTTTGGAGTAGCAGCTCCCATTCTTATTTTCTTGGATATATGTGGCTGTGGGATCAAGCTTGCTTTTCTCTTTGCACCCCGTGGTGACTTAACTAGAGAATTCCCTGTAGTGTCTGCTGGACTCTTTTGAACGGTTAGTGTCTTTGTAGGAGTTGCCAGCCGTCTTCGTACACTTTTGGGTGTAACTGCAACCCGAGTCATCATCCTGGGAGATGACGCAGGTGATTCAGCCTTCCTGGGAGATGACGCAGGTGATTCAGCCTTCCTGGGAGATGACACAGGTGATTCAGCCTTCCTGGGAGATGACGCAGGTGATTCAGCCTTCCTGGGAGATGACGCAGGTGATTCAGCCTTCCTGGGAGATGACACAGGTGATTCAGCCTTCCTGGGAGATGACACAGGTGATTCAACCTTCCTAGGAGATGACGCAGGCGATTCAGCCTTCCTGGGAGATGACACAGGCGATTCATTCCAGCCTTCCTGGGAGATGACACAAGTGATTCAGCCTTCCTGGGAGATGGCCGAGGTGATTCAGCCTTCCTGGGAGATGACGATTCAGCCTTCTGGGAGATGATTCAGCCTTCCTGGGAGATGGCGCAGGTGATTCAGCCTTCCTGGAGATGTGATTCAGCATGAGACAATTCAGCCTTCCTGGGAGATGGCGCGGGTGATTCAGCCTTCCTGATTCAGCCTTCCTGGGAGATGACGAGGCGATTCAGCCTTCTGGGAGATAGGTGCCTTCCTGGGAGATGAGGCGATTCAGCCTTCCTGGGAGATGACGGGTGATTCCAGCCTTCCGGAGATCGATTCAGCCTTCCTGGGAGATGGACGAGGCGATTCAGCCTTCCTGGGAGATGACACAGGCAATTCAGCCTTCCTGGGAGATGACACAGGTGAGTCAGCCTTCCTGGGAGATGACACAGAGCAATTCAGCCTTCCTGGGAGATGGCGCGAGCGATTCAGCCTTCCTGGGAGATGACACAGGCAATTCAGCCATCCTGGGAGATGACACAGTTGATTCAGCCTTCCGGGAGATGACACAGTTGATTCAGCCTTTCCTGGGAGATGACAGTGATTCAGCCTTCCTGGGAGATGACACAGAATGATTCAGCCTTCCTGGGAGATGACACAAGTGAGTCAGCCTTCCTGGGAGATGACACAGGTGATTTAGCCTTCCTTGGAGATGACACAAGTGAGTCAGCCTTCCTGGGAGATGACACAGGTGATTTAGCCTTCCTGGGAGATGACACAAGTGAGTCAGCCTTCCTGAGAGATGACACAGGTGAATCAGCCTTCCCGGGAGATGACACAGGTGAATCAGCCTTCCTGGGAGATGACACAAGTGAGTCAGCCTTTCTGGGAGATGATACAGGTGAATCAGCCTTCCCGGGAGATGACACAAGTGAGTCAGCCTTTCTGGGAGATGATACAGGTGATTCAGCCTTCCCGGTAGATGACACAAGTGATTCAGCCTTCCAGGGAGATGACACAAGTGATTGAACCTTCCTGGGAGATGACACAAGCGAGTCAGCCTTCCCGGGAGATGACACAGGTGATTCAGCCTTCCAGGGAGATGACACAAGTGAGTCAGCCTTTCTGGGAGATGATACAGGTGAATCAGCCTTCCCGGGAGATGACACAAGTGAGTCAGCCTTTCTGGGAGATGACACAGGTGATTCAGTCTTCCCGGGAGATGACACAAGCGAGTCAGTCTTCCCGGGAGATGACACAGGTGATTCAGTCTTCCCGGGAGATGACACAAGTGAGTCAGCCTTTCTGGGAGATGACACAGGTGAGGCTATTTTCTTTGGGGATAATTTCTCTTTAGGACTAACTCTGAATGGTGTTACCCTTCTCAGAAATGCTTTGGGTGTTGTTGCTTTCTTAGGGGTAAGTTTAGATGATATTACTTTCTTGGGGGTAGCTTTCGGTGATGCTACTTTCTTGGGAGTAGCCTTGGGAGATGTGACTTTCTTGGGAGTAGTTTTGGGTGATGCTACTTTCTTGGGGGTAGCTTTGGGCGAGGTTATTTTCTTGGGGGTAGCTTTGGGTGACGCTACTTTCCTGGGAGTAACTTTGAATGATGCCACTTTCTTGGGGGTAGCTTTGGGTGATGTTACTTTCTTGGGGGTAGCTTTGGGTGATGCTACTTTCTTGGGAGTAGCTTTGGGCGAGGTTATTTTCTTGGGAGTAGCTTTGGGTGATGTTACTTTCTTGGGGGAAACCTTCGGGGACGATAGTTTCTTGGGGGTAACTTTTGCTTTCACGTAAGAAGTTTTAGGTGATGCTCTCTCCTTGGATGAAGATTCAGGTGTTAGTGAAGTCTTGGGAGGAGTATTGTCTCTTGTCACTTTCTTTGGAGAAATGTTGAGTATATCATCATCATAGGACATTTCATTCTCAGAGGTTGAGGGGAATTTTGCCAGCATTTCGGGAGTTTTAGACCTTGATTCATCTTGGGCAGAACGCTTACTGGGCGTCTCCAAGGCTTGGGGTGAAGCTGCTGGGGAATTAACTTTTAAGAGAGCACAATTTTGAGGAGAGTCTGGTTCTTGGGATTTGAAGGTTACTGAAACTACATTGAGATTCATCTTGGCACGGAGGCTCTTGGGAGATACCAACTTAGAAGTTTCATCTCTTGATTTTTCAGGCAAATTTTTCAGCGGACCTCTATCCTTTGTGGGACTATTTGCCACTGGTTCAAGTTTTGGAAAAGGTTTCTGATTTGGAGAATCATCTTTAGAATTTTGAATGTTTGAAGATTCCTCATTGATCGTCTTTGGAAAAAGAAGTCCAAGACTACGCGCTAAGTATGGTTTTACTGGTGTGGGACTACGTCTCCGCAAGAGGCTCTTGGTTGGGGTATCAATTCCACTTTCTTCTGCAATACAAACATTAAGTGGAGCAATAGATATGCGTTTTGATTTTCGGCTAGGACTTGCTTGAGGAGTATCTGAGAAATTTAACAAAGTACGGGTATTAGGCTTCTCTCCCTTGCTGATTGGTGTGTCAGGAGGTAACAGTTGAGAAAAATGCTCTGGATTGAGCTGTGGGCCAAATGAGACCCTCTTCCTCTTTGAATCGGGCAACTCTTCAAAATCTTCATCTGAATTTTTACGCTTTTCCCCATCAGATAGACCTGCAAACAGATAGTCCTAGCTCAGCAATATAACAATTGTTTTAATAATTGCACAAACATAGTAATCAAATATATATTGTTTCATTTGGATAAATATTACAATAAAGTGAACAAAACTAATTCTGCAACTGACTATACAGTACTTACTGCCACTTAGGTTATGATTACTGATAGGAGACTTGAGATTGGGAGACAATATCTTGTAATCTTGCAGCTGATTGGTGGAAACAGCAAGGATGGAACCTTCTGGATATTCCCATCTAAATTGCCTTTCTGACACAGTGATAATATCTTTGTGCCTCAAAACACTAATCTCATCTGCAGCCAAGGGAGAGTCATTCAGGAGTGTAGACAGTGTTTGGCTAAGATTTGTAACATATGCCTGAAAACAAAATAAAAATATCAAAATATACAGTATACAGCATTGAACATAGGGTATAAATATAAGATACTGTATATCCAAGGTAATCTATAGACATAATGGTATACAGTATAACCTCATACTAAACTAGCCAACCCCTTCTTTCCATTCACAGTAATTCATTAGATATGATACTCCCCATTGAGTAAAAATTGCAACCTGAAGAAGAAAAAGGTGGGAGTATGTCCCAATAGTCCCATTCATGAGGTACCTGCTTATCATACCTCAAAAACCAGAAACTGCAATCTCTTAATACTCGGGTGTTAGCATACGGGAATAGCTCGCTATTTGCAATTGATGTTTTAACACCCCTATATGATATTTGCAAATTACAACAACTTACAGCAATATTTCAGACTGTTCTCTCATATGTCACTGTAAGGCCCACTTCACACGAGCATGTTTTTTCTATGCAGTTTAGAAATGAATGAAGTTCAGTGAGCCCATTCACACGGAGCATGCACGTGAGATACTCACCCCATGCCTGTACCTGTATGTATACTGTACTTCCAAACTGCAGCGTGAAAAAACACAGCGTTCTAAAATTTTTCATATGGTAATGGAGTACAGACCAGTGAGTTTAAATGTCTACACCCATTTACAAGTCATACATACATACATACATACATACATACACACACACACACACACACACACACACACACACACACACACACACACACACACTCACTAACTTGCACACAGTGTTCATTTTCATTGTTTTTATGTTATCGTTGTTATTTTAATGCATTACAGGCAGTCCCCGGGTTACAAACGAGTTCCATTCCTGGGGGCATTCTCAAGTAAAAAAATTTACGCAAGTCGAAATGACAAAATACAGTACAGTAAATGAAAGTAAAAATATCAGTCATCTGGTAAATAAAATACTGTAAATTTAAAGTTTAACCCCGTTCACATTGCTGGATGTTTGTAACCCAGGGACTGCCTGTATATGACGTGTACCTATATATCGAAAAATGTGATGCTATAAAATTAGAAATATGAAGAGTATAAGTGTGTATTTATGTGCAGTGAACATGTATGGACTTGGCAAGTCACCAAGCTAAACTGTTCCTGTAGCTACAGCACATCCCCCTAGCCTCCTCCCCACAAGGCCAAGCTGTTATTATTATCATCTTTCAGTTAGTAATATTGGGCAGATATGATTTTTTGGTAATGATGCAGTTTACAGCAACCACAGAATTACGGAAACTCACTACACTCAATCAATAGAACTATTTTACTATAATCATTTTCTTATATTACACTTCCATCGCAAATCAATAATAAGATAGTTATTGAATTTTAAAAAGAATAAAATCAGAGCACCCGTTGTCCCTACGATGTTGCTCAAATTGTTTGAGTTCGTACGTTCGCTTACCTTCCGCGCATGTGTCGGGGGACAGCCGTCAATCAAATCGGGGCTGGCCGCAACCAATCAAATCTAGGGCAGGGGGCGGCAGTCAATAACAATAATAAAAACTTTGATTCAACCAATTAGCGTTTAATATTCAGCGTGGGTGCTAGGATGCGGGACATTTATCATCACCTGCAACATGGAGACATTATGTGCTGGATAGGATTTCGTTAATGGAAGTTTTTTGTGTATTTCAATCTAAAAATAAGGAAACTTCAGAGAACAGAGGAACACACGATGCAATCTGGTCTATGACTCAGACTCGGAGTAAGGTAAGAAATACTCTAACGGCTACAGTATTTATATTCTCATGGAGGCTGACCACGCGACTTTAGGGTTATTACATAGCATTTTGGGGTCCAGGGTAGGGGGTTAGGTAAAGTTTAGTTTGGTTCTATGGTACAAGTTAGTAGACACAGAGTACCATGAATTCAGAACACGCAATCGATAGAACTATTATGGGGGGGGGGGGGCTAAATCACAAATGAGCGATTTCCGACAAAAACGAAGGTCAAATTTGAACTAATTACATCAAAACCCACTTTTTTTCTCCAAATTCCATGGTTACTGTAATATGCATTTACCAATTTTTTCTTGTTACATGCACACCCAATTGTTCATACATAATGTGCAAAATACTAATAAAATAAATGGTTATCGTAAGGTCAAAAACATTTCTTACGTCCGCAGGAGTTAACGTGCGGTGTCTGGAATAGCAGGCTAAGCCGTATACTGTGTTATTGTATTTTTAACTCATAACATCAGGTACGTATGCACAATTTTCTTCTTTTTTTACCCCAATTGCCATAAAGTAAAAAACATAAAGGCATAAGCATTTCTTACGTGCACGGCAGTTAGCATGAGGATCTCAGCTGCTCCAATCTTCCGTGTCCTGCATATAGTGAAACAATTGCCAACCGGCTGAGGTATTTTTTTATTTATTTATTCCACACATTTGCTGGTACTGTACGGTACTACAGTATACAAGTGACCTTGGTCCCAAACAGTGCACTACTGCAAATATCATGAGACCAAGTCCTGGATTTGGCTGTACTAAAAAAATTTCAGCAGTCATTGTAAGTGTTATAGTAGTCATCTAACAATAGTAGTAACATTGATGAGATATTAGTACATTTTTATTTATGTATACTGTATTGCTGCATTTGTGGCCATATTTTCTTTTTTACACTATTACACCCTTAATCTATGGTGAAAAAGCTACAAAATTAGACCAACACTGCATTTTTCCAAGGTGAAAACCTTTGACTCAGATTTTTTTTTTAAAGTGTAGACTCGTCACTGTCTTACCCAATCCCTTTAATTGTCCTCTGCAGTAATCAAACACTACCAAGAACCCCAAGAAAAGTTATTTAATTACTGGCAACTCCTTGTGTGACACTCTTCTTATATCACTGATATCAGTTTCTGGTGGCCAACATCTGGAGTGTAATCCAAAATAGTGGGCCAAATAATTTGTCAGTGCATTGTTCTATTACTGGGTCAAATGTTGCAATGTTTCAATGTCTTTCAGGATATTACAATTTAAAGTATTCTCCCCATTAGCCAGAATCGCTGATCCCAGAAACTTAAAATTTCTCAGAATTTTTTTAGCATTCCAAGAAAAATCCCCCCATTCCAGGCATTTGAATAAATTTCCAAGAGATTGCATAGTATGCCGACTCTACAGTACAGGATGTGTATGACACTATGTTTGGAATGTTTTGGGTGGGATGTAAAGAATTGCAGGAAGTTTTGACAAACTTGTATAAGAATGTGCGAGATCCCAATCAAAATGTTATAAACACAAAACTAATAAATCCCCAATGCTCTAAGGTTACAACATGCAGTACCAGTATATACACTACAATACCAACCTTTCCACTTGGGTCCACATCAACCTGGCAGTGTAGCCTTGATACACTGCATAGCTGAACCCTAATGTCACAGTCCTGATTGCGACCAATGATACAACTTGTGTTGGTAAGTGGGAATGGAGTACCATCTGCCCCACTTCGTTTAATCACTACGATGTATCCCAGTATCTTCATGGTGATGCTAATTCACCTGTAGTTACCTGCAAGTCAATAAATTTTAAGAATCAATCAATCAGTATATATATATATATATATATATATATATATATATATATATATATATATATATATATATATATATATATATATATATATATATATATATATATATATATATATATATACATATATATATATATATATTAAAATAAGCATTTTTTCACAATAAGGATATTGGTTAAAAGTATCCCAATGGAGGGGAACCTGCAAAAGCTATTGTAGTGGACGTCTCCCCTACAACTGCCTACATCTGCGTAGTCACAGCCACCACCTGCTACCGCCTTCCCTAGCAACCAACCAGATGTTACCGTATCTTAGCAACAGAACTAGTCACCGGCGACTTTCTGGGTTTTCCCAACATGACTCCGCCGCTGCCTGGCTGCCTTCGCTTCTCCTCGCCTGCCCGGCGGTCCTCGCTCCCGCCAGCGAGCATGGCGACCCACCAGCTGTCCTTCTCTGAGCTTCCTCACCAACCAACTCTCATTCTGCCCATCTTCCTGAATAAGCACCTCCAGCACCAGACTGTCTATCATATAACTTATATTATATAAGAAAACCACATTAGAGTTTCCTTCCATCCTGAGTGCTAGACAACATTAATATCTCGATACCCCTACACTATACTGTATAGGCTATACTGTTAACCTAGCAAATATTCATTATTGCATGCTTCTGTCGGACTCATAGAAGTGAAATTTAGAGTGGGTAGAAGGAAAAGAAGTACAGTAAGCACCGTTGCTGACATATGACAAGACTTAACTTCATACGCACAGTATCTGGTACTGCTTCATTATACAATTCATCACCCATAAAATAAATCAAGGTAATCTACTAAGGACAGTTTGGTTCATTTTATGAATGATAAATTATAAAACATAAAGTAACATTTTCTGATATCCTGAAAAATTCTCGACTCTCTGAATGTTAACAAAGGCACTATTAATTTTACACCCATTAAATACAAGATTATTGGACAAACTCCTATTATGGGAAAGTTTTGAAAATTCCATGACGAAAACTTCTGGATTTGGATCAATGCACTCAGCAAAATACACACCATACTTAAGCCTCAAAGACAGCACCACTGAAATACTTACTAGTAAAAATATTGGTTTAAAACATTTCTACAATATTAAATTTATTTTAGTGTTTCAACAATTCAGAATAATTACTTACAGGTAAATCTTTAAATAACGTTTCAATAACTCAACCACCGTCCTCCAGTCTAAACTTTCCCGGGCTGTTTTTACAAATCCTCCAAGGTTTCCAATCTATCTCCCTGGGATCTTGTTTTTAATTTCATCCATACACCCGTCTCTGCCTTTCCCTGGCCCTCCTCCCCTCAACTTTGCCCATTAACATGTGTTATCCCCAATTATATGACCAAAGTATCCAATTTTTCCTTTTCTGTACAATTCAAGTATTTCGCTTATGTTTTTGCTAATCTTAGTACTTCTCCATTTGTTTTTTGTCAGTTCAGTATAAATATCTGAATACCTATAAAAAATTTGATGCTTAAATATAAATGCTTTAAGTGTTTTTGTAGGAAATGCCGTTTTAAACATTGCAGTAATCCAGTTTAAATATTTCTTTACACGAAAGACAATTTCAACTACGATGATTACAGTTTCAGATGTTTCAATAAATAGGTAACTTACGTTTTGCCAACTATCAACGAAAAGTTAAATGCATCAATAGTTAGACAATTTATTTCAATACTAAGATAAATCGTTGAACTGTTTTAACAACCAGGATTAAACATCTAATTGTTTCACCAAGATGAATCTCTAATGTTAATAGTATACAGTACTGCGATACTGAAAAAATATTGTCCAGCCAATGTGACATTACAATAACTAACCATGGTTTAAACGCTACAGGAATGAATGTAAATAGCCAAACCATTGTTAACACCTAGATACATAATTTTAAATGTTACAAAAAACTAGGGAGCGACTAATTACCCAAATGAAGCCGCAATGAAGTCAAATAATGGTCCTACATGAATAAATCGGACTGCCAATCACTTCTCGACTGGTATTTGGTGTCACGAAGTCACAAAAAATTGGTAAACTTAATTTAATCTGAGTTAATAGATCGAGTACATGTACCTAACCTAACCAAACTCAGATTAAATTAAGTTTACCAATTTTTTGTGACTTTATGACACCAAATACTAATCGAGAAGTGATTCACAGCCCGATTTATTCATGTAGGACCATTATTTGACTTCATTGCGGCTTCATTTGGATAATTAGTCGTACCGAAAAACTACGTCCATAGTGCCTCAAGAATCAGTGGTAACAATAAGCGTGGTCAGTGGTGGAGTTAATACTGCATGTGGCAGTCGCTCAAGAGGATCAAAGGCGCCACTTGCAGAATCTCAGTCACACTAACACACGAAGGGGAACAGTAATATTAAGTAGCTCTCTAGACTCCTGTACAATTACAAAATATACATTAATTAGGTCATGACATTCTCGAGTCCTTTAAACATGAGAACGGCAAAAGGAGTTCCCCCCGCCGTCAGAACACCACGAACTTGGCGGGTGAATGCCTTCGTACAAATAGAAACGAGTTTATTTTTTATGTACAATAGCTTCAGTAATAATTTTGTCCATTCATAAAGTAAAATAACAAGGTAGCTCTCACATGAAGGATAAACATTATATAGCGTGAATTATCTCGGCTCATAGGTTTTTGTGAGGTCACCGAGATATTCCAGTGATGTCGGACGCGGCCAGATTGCGTAGGCTAGGATGCCATTGACTCCACACCACCAGCCTCCTCCACCCCCACCACCCCACGCCCGGCCACACACACACGCCTCTTTGCTTTCAACTTCATAAATAATCAAGATGATCATTAAAAGTGCTCTCGGGTATAATGGTTATACGAAAAATCATTAAAATCATTATGGCGGGGCTCAACGCTACTCGTACAGTACACATTAATGATGATAACTCGAATTTTTACACTATAACTGACAACCTGCTTCCTGTGACAATACATTCGCACACAAAATATGTATAATCCAAGTAAATAAGGAAGGTTATACATATACAGGTTAAAAACACTTATAAAAACGATTATCAACAAAATTTCAAATTTCGTCGAGTTGCCACACAAGTTACAAACACTTATTATTTTCATTCACCCCGCAGCTTCACTAGGTCAAGGTTTCATCTGTGTAAAATATAACATAATGGAGGATGATCACGGATTCTAGATATAAATGTTAGCTAGAAAATTGAGATAAGACGCACATTTGACAATACCTTGTGGCAGTCCACTTAAATTCAACTGTCATATGTCCACACTAAAACTTATACACCACCTACTTCAAACACAAAGAATTAACACCTGTATATACTATAAATTTCTACAATTCCGTCAAATAAACCTTCTAGAAGTTAACTTACCATCTGCAAAAAAAAAGTATGTTAAATATAAGGAGCCTCGACCAGCACCTCCTCACCGCCTCATTGTCACACACAAACTGAAGACATGGCGCGGTACACATTCAAACTAGCCGCTTAACCGCCCGCCTCGACAACTAGTACCTCGCACAGTTTTAAAACAACCCCTAACACACAAACTATCAAAATAGAATACATCCTACATAAACATATTTCCTCAAATTTAACAACAAACACATTCCAAATACCTCCAAGAGGACAGCAACCGATACTTTATCTCAATGGCGGTATCTTTAACACATTCAAAACAAATCAGACTTCACTGATTGGCTGAGAGAGTCAAGCACTAGAAAATAGAATGATATGATTGGCTAAGAGATTGTGATATTGTGTTGCTATTGGCTAGAGGCGGGAAGCTGCAAGCAGCCTGCCCGGATTCTCCTTGCAAATAGTGCGAAATTAATTGTAACTTGTGATTTTCATAATTTTCTAACTCATTTTGGGTAGGTGTACCAGAATTACAATATTTATAAGACAACAGAGTGGCTTGACTTCATGAGGGCCAAGTTAGTGGTGATACAGAGGTGTTGTCGTGATGATGAATGTTAAAAGCCAGAACGTTTGGGTGACAACGTTGAGGTTAGAGCCGAGTTTTGTTAAATGCCACCACAAGGCACAGTGTTTGCTTGCAGTTTTTAAATGACCCAGCTTAAGCCAGATATTGCCGCAATAATGACGTTTTCTTCGCCTTTTCTGTCGCTTGCAGTTGTAGGAACTTAATTTTGAGAGAAGTAATTTTGGCGGTGCTACAAATTATAAAAGTTGCAGGTGAGAAATAAAATTGAAGCAACGCAATAGGCGGCGGGATATAAATAGCAGCTTTCTAATAGGGCGATCACTGACGGACTTATCACAAGCTACAATTTGCTCTAAAAAAAATGCCTCTTACAGTTAATATGACCTTATTAAAATGTTCACTGGAGGTTTGTAGGTGTCAAGTTTTTCTCATTTTAGTAATAAGAACAAAGTCAATGTTGTCAAGTATTAAATTGAAATATTTTTGATGAGGTTCTTGTTTATAATTTAAGTAAATTTATGACTAGCCTGCCTTGGTCTCTATGATTCATGTAATATTTTTCAATGTATTTCTTGTGCAGGTGTTTCAACTATAAATCTTAACCTAACCTGAAATATGTAACCCTTTATTTAATTGACAAAGGTATATATTCGTTTAATGGCTATGGCTGAATAAAACATTCCTAAATACAAAAAAAAAGACTATTCTCATAACAATTTCAACTTCTCAATCACTGTTGAACCCTCAACTATCAAACCTAACCCAAGAAACCTATTATCATAAAATGGAGCCACAGCCATTAAACGAATATTTACCATGACATAAAGTTCTTAACTAATATAATAATGTTTAGGTCAAGTTTAGGAAGGTTAGTTTATGGAAGATCACTGTAATATGTAAGGTTAGGTAAGTTAAGTTAGTTATGAATGATTAATTATAAAATGTATAATATCTGGTAAGGCACTCTGGGAAGGTAAATGTCTTTGTATATACAGTAGACCCTTGCGATTCGCGATTTCGACGATTTGCAGTAAGCAAATGGTGGTTATGGTGGCTAGCTTGAGAACCTTTTCCTGCAGCACGACGAGTCACCCTGTGAAGCATCTCGTGTGAAATGGCCCCTTAAAGACTGCCTAGTGTCAGTGCTAGTGATGCTAGTGGAGTGGAGTGAAATGTGAAAGGCAGAAGTTAGTGATGACCCTGACAGAGAAAGTTGAATTAATATTAGACAAGATAAAAGGGGTTAGTACTGCCGTGGCTGGTTGGTATAGGTATACAGTAGTGCACTAAGGTAATATAAGTTGCTATTTGCACTTTTGCTTATTCATGCCATTCCTTGGAACCTAACCCCTGCGAATAACAAGGGTTTACTGTATTTCAAATTGTTCAAAAAGGAAAACTAACCTTACATTTAGTATTTTATTGTATGTTGACCACAGGTTGCAGTTTTTCTAAGAATGCCTTACAGTACTGTACTTCACAAAAATGTATATTGCAACAATGTTTGAGTAGTTCAATATTCAAATAATGTCTGTAAAAGAATGTTCACAATTGTCACTCAGTTGCTCAAGCATGGTATTTAGTAATCAAGGCTTTGTGAATTAGTTTCAAAGTACTGTATGAAGAAACCAGAACTTAGTAATAATTTTTCAAGATTGTTCAGGTTTTAAACAATGGTATTTAGATATTTATAATAAAATTGATACAAAGTATTAGGAGACATATTGAATACGAGGGTGGAAATCACACACACACACACACACACACACACACACACACATATATATATATATATATATATATATATATATATATATATATATATATATATATATATATATATATATATATATATATATATATATATATATATATATATATATATATATATATATATAATTTTCACTACTTATCAGCATACAGTACTAACCTTTTGGGTGCTCTATTCAGTGTTAGTACTGTACAGGAAGAAGCCGGGGACTGGGAAACTTGTGATGTTTGGTAGGGTCATACTTAATAAAGCCCTTTACATTACACACCCAAATTAGCCATTTTAATGTATAAATGCCAGCAAACCATAAAAAATACACACGGCAGCCAGTTTCCCATGTTCCCAGACTCTTCCCAGTGGGTTAACCAACGCTTCACAGTGACCTCAACCTCCCTTGCATTTTCTGACATATTGCCAGTCATGCAAACCAATAATTTGCCTGTGACTCTCCAATCAGCTTTCTCTAGCGTCCATCCTGGGGTGGGTGTGGAGCAGCGGTGAGAGGTGGAAGTGATAACATAACAGCCTCATTTAGTCTTCCTGTTTACTTATGCTTGTATATCTGCAGTCTGTTAACACGAACCAAATTTAATGTGTGTGATGATTTACTGAATCAATGTCCATCTATTTAGGCTTTTACCCCCTTTATAGAAAGAACAGCATGGTTAGATGTAAATTTTAAGTCCCTATATATCTTATATTCTACACTATTATTAGAACAAAACTACATGTATTTGTTTTCTAAGCAGAAACTAGCTGTTAAGTTTGACAAACTTTAAATTACTTTCTAGATATATTTTCTTCCGACATCTGATTAATCTAATAAAGTGGTAAACAGCTTTTCTTCTATGATAATCTCAAATACCCTGAGAATTAGCTTCCTCAGCTTAATTCATCTGAAGTTTAAACATCCTAACACAGCCTGGGGGATAAGGTAGACTGAGGTTAGCATTAGGGTGTTTACTGGTAATCATCGGGTGAAATTAGCTCGGGGCTAATCTTATAGTGATCCAAAATTTCATCAGCAGATTAGTAATGGTGGATGAGTAAGCCACTGTATTCCCCCAAACTGAAATTCTCCCCAGAGTGATGACCGTCTCCCCACGCAAACGGACGATGGTGGGTCGGTTGAGATCCAGTCCCAAACGTGGGAAAGGTGATTCACTGGAAGAAGATTGGCATTCTGCAGCAAACTTTCCGTTTTCAGAATCCCCGACTTTGCCCAAAAAGTATGTAGCCACTGCATTACATTTTACCTATACAGTACTGTCTTAAGTCCTGTACTAAGATGCAAAACATTTAGCATGGAGTTATTGTAATAGATGAATGTGAGATGCGATGTCTGTATACGTAAACGCTTGCATATTAATATAGTGTACATCAACACCTTTTAATATCAGTTGAGAACATGGCCAGTTGCATGTGGTTATAATGGGATTTTATTGTCCCTCATATTACTCCACACACACTTTAATTTTTTTTTTTCATGAAAATGTTAATATGAAAAATGCCTCCTCCAGAACACAGACCAAGAGAGGTAAACCTTCATCTGCTGCTTCGAGATCTCATAAGGAAACAACACAGCAGGTATGTGTACTATGTGTAGTAAATTCTGAGACTAAAATATAGGGCTTAATCCGTTGATCAATGAGGTTGATTGATTAATATATTGATAGTACTGAATTTCTATTAATATTGACTAACTGATCTTCCTAGAGGTCCAGTGAGGGGCATCCTCCATAGTACAGGAGGAAACTGGAGTACTCTATCTGTAGAAAACCTGCAGTGTTCAGTAGGGTCACCCTCAACAGTATCCTTCTCACACTTGACCCTACTGGATATCAGTCCTTAATTACAATGGTAAAAAGTAAGATATTTTATGTTTAATGTCATTTAATTATTCTTTTTTACAGACTCGCAGGCAAAGTGTGTTACTGAAGCGTCTTGATCTCCCAACAAACCTGACAGGTGTGTCTCCAGGCTCCACTGCACGAAAAACACGTAGACAGTCAATGGTTCACTTAAGTATAAGTGAGACAGAGCGAAGGGAAATTCAGAACAATAAGTTGCTATTGCCAGTAGCAGAAAAATCAAGTTCAAGGAAGGTGTCTAGGTCCAAACTGCCACCCAGTAAGCCAGCTCCTCCCAAGCAGGAAACAAATACAGAAAAGAAGGATATAGTAAAAACAAAATTGCAAGAAAAAGAAATTAAGAAAACAATGACAAAACCGAAATCTAAAGGATCCCTTGTAAACCAGAATGACTTTGCTCGACGTAAATCACTAAGATCATTCGGTTTAGCTGGAAACATGTTTGAAGACAGAACAAAAAGAAAAGCAGGAACTGAAGTTACAAATGAGGTATTTATTTTCGTTTTGTTGTTTACATTAATGAAAGGGTTTAAAATAATGTTACAGTATGGGTTTATGGTCTAATATTATATTTTTATTGAAGTGTTCCTTTAAATCAAAAGTACAGTAATCTCTACATTAGCTGGAATATTCGATCCCAGAACTCTCCATTACCTGGAGGAAAATTTTTTACATTTTGGACAATTCCGGGGGAAATCTCTCCGTTCTGGGCACTTGAACAAATTTCCGAGAGATTACATCCAGCACCGACATGTGCCGAGTGCGTGGGTGGGTAGGCTCGGTGTGTTCATAAGCTTTGATTAGCTACAACTGTACACTCATGTGACTGCATGGGATGCCTATGGTTGACTGATGTGTCTCGCAGCCTATCTCCTCAAACTCTAGCATCAAGACACTCTTAGTTCATTGTCTGGTGCCATTGCACAAGCTTGTTCATTTACTCACTGCTGTTTTTGCACATGATGTATGTTGTGCAGTACTGTACATTGCTGTATCAATATAATCAGCCAAGAAAACCGTTAAAGCAGTGTTGAGATGTAAAAAGTGATTACAGTTATGTATACACTTTACGTACTGTATGTTTAGTAAGTGTGAAAGTATAGTGCACATACTGTACTGTACGTAGCAGAGTGGATAGTGTATGCAAGTGTGTAGAGGTGTATGTACGGTAAACAGTGCATGTACACTCACTAAAAAAAACATTCTGCATCCTTGGCTCTGAAACCATCTACAATGATCACTGTGACAGAAGCCGTGATGAGTGTTATCAGATTTCTTGGTCTGATGTGTCATATTGTATAACCCTGTAAAGGTTCACAATAATACTTTAGTGAGTGTACAAACCCTCCTTCATGAGGGGGAGGAGAGTGACAGCTAGCAAAACCTGGTACAGGACAAAGGCAGGCCATCCTGTATCATCATATCACCATTTAACCTGCCTGCATCACAAGCTCGATATCACAACAACTGCTGGCGAGTACAGTATAGAATACTATATGTACAGTACAGCTGCTCCTCGACTTACGACGGGGTTAGGGACCCAAATCCAGGTCATAAGTTGAAAATGCTTCAATAATACATAGAAAATCTAAAATGGGGGTGTCTTTTTCTTCTCAGCACCACAAAACTCTCACTTTTAAGCTTGCCAGCCATTTTTAAGTGAATTGCAAATGAAAGTTTTGTCAGTACACAGCACAATCACTAAGGTTGGGAATCGAAAATACGTAATTTGACAAAAATTTGGTACGACTGAGGTGGTCGTATGTCGTAAGTCGAGGAGTAGCTATACAGTATAGTATACTTTGTTTATTTACAATACTGTACAGTATGTTATACATGCTCAGTAGTGTTTGCATAAATAAATGCAGCTGTGTCTGTCCGACTGCAGTTTGACTTGGTAACATTCACTGGTGCTCAGAAAAATTCTGGTGATGAGAAAATTTGGCTGGAAATCTCTCAAACCTGGCACGACTCTGCACCAGTTATTCCGACTCATGGGCGATTACTGTATTATCAGAAAACACATAAATTGTACGTATCTTAGGAACATTGTTTAGCAAGTTTGGCAAGGAGTTGGAGGGCCCTAGTGAATAAAAAGCTGTAATTAGAATACAGGTAAAGGTATGAGACCATTTATCTGTGTCCCAGTATCTGGAACACTCCAAAAAGCAGCTATGTTCTAGAATAAATTACTGTACTGTATTTAAAATGAGTGCCAAGTGGGGAAATTTCCAACTGTTCCCCAAATGTGAGCTACTTTATATGTTATCGGATGATTATTTTTTAACTTTTAGTTGTTGTTTTTTCTTCAGTTACATGCACACACAATCTTATGTATAAAAAGTGCAAAAAAAGTATATATCATGAGGAATAAAGTTTTAAATATCTGCTGACTTTCACCATGAAGCTGTGTGGAGAGGTCAGAAGATGCACGGTGCAGTGCACCCTTGTTAAGGAAAGCAACGTCCCAGTTGGGCTGCATTGCTAAGGCAATTATTGAGGCAGCCAGCGTCCCTGAGACTGCAACACAATGTGTACACTAACTTGTATCATTTTAGCCCTTTTTGCTTTTATTATTGCTGTCAATACGCCTACAGTTTTAAGTTTTAATGTTACAGTGTACAGTTAAAGCTACTTTTAGGGATTAATTTACTGATCAGAACAGAGGCTTCACAGCTAGTTGACATGCAGGAGGAATGTGGTACGTATTACCGTATTAACATAAAATGTTTAATGTATACTGTAGGCTTTGAAATAAGATATATGATTTACATATTAATATACGTATCTCATTTTATTGGTTTCAGGTGCAGCCAGCAGCAAAGAAAAGGAAAGCTGAACCTTCCTCATATAAAAAAGCAGAAGTTGCCCAAATAAACCTTTTTTCACCAAAACTTAGGAAAGCAAAATATTGCACAAGTCCATTGGTTAAGCAGGAGAAAACTTTTAAACCAGAAACATTGTCTCGGACAAAAAATACAAGTCCATCAGTTAGGCTGAATAGGAAGACTGCAAAATCAGCATCTTTGTCTCAGATAAAGTCTGTAACTCCATCCCCATCCTCTCGTACAAAAGTGTCAAGCACAACAAAGTTCTCCAACAGTCGTCAGACTCGAGGAAGCATCACCAACTTGGTTACAGTAACAAAGAGAGAATCACTGCCTCGAACTCCTAATTTTCTCTCAAAAAAAGATGGGGAAACGCCATCACCCTCACCAAGGTTTTCGAGAGTAACGAGGTCCTCAGTTAAAAGTAAAAAAAGAGTCAAATTAATAGTCAAGAGTCCTAAAGCAGAGTCTCCAGTCCTAGGATTCAGGAAGACTCCAGCTTCTAACAGAAAAGTTCAAGCAAATCATGTCAGTGCCCAAGGTAGGTTATATATTCCCATATACCTGTATAATAGCAAATCGCCCTTTCTTTGTCACGTTGTTCATAGAGAATTGTCTTTATAGATTATTCATCATTTTTTAGTATAACAGTACTATATCAAAATAATACTTTGCTGATCATAAAATGTATGGTATGCATAGTAGGAGGTTTTGCTTAAAATGGTACTGTAGCAGTAATTAACGAGTAAATGTTTTTATGTCTGTTCTGTTTGAAGACTTGCAAGTATTACACTGTACTGGTGATACAGGTCTGTTGTTTAAAAAGTTACAGATGTTGTATTAAAGTATTCTGAAGATTATATCAGAAAGGGTTAATGTAAGTGAATGAGGAGACGCTTACCTTGTGAATAACCAGTGAAGTTTATATTTGGTTAAGTACATACGACAAGAAACTTCCTTCACCAAAGTGAGTGATAGTAGGTCGAATAGCCATTGTTAAACGTACATTACTGTATTATATTACTTTGTAATTGAGCATGATTCAAGAATTACTTATACATTTTGATCTTGACCCTTGGAAACTATTTCACATATACTGTATAAGGAACCCCCATTCAGAACTGTTACTGTACAATACATCAGAAATATTTCATCTCAACATCATATGTATGTACATCATGACCTATACTTGAAACTAATGTGGCAGAAATACTCCAATCTCCTTGTGTATACAAAAAAGGCAGAGTTCACAGTTGCTACCCACTTTGCTCTAGGCCTGTAGGACCTACTTTCTCTTATTTCAGGTAGTGATATGCAGCATTAATGTGGTATCTCATTAATATTTTTAGGATCATCTGTACTGCCAACTGCACGGATGCAACTGGAATATATAAGACATTCATCTCCTTTACGATCCACTAGTAAAGTTGCTAACAGCCGGGTGAAACCATACACCCCTAAACCTGATCCTGCGCCGAGCCATATATTAAAACAGACTCTGAAGAAGAAAGTGGAACAAGATTTGGATGTTGTAACACTGGTAAGAATCATAGTCCTAGGGATGGTAAATAGACTCTTCCGTTCGGTGGTTGATTTTCAAAAAGTGCTTGTGTCCATCTAGCACAGTTTTCTTAGCAATCTTTTTTTAATTAGTTGACATTTTGTTTTATAATTTGGAATATTTATGTTATACTCATCATACTCAATATTGCATTAATACCTTAATTTTGGTTTGCTGTGAAAAAGGGTTTAACTTGCTTGAGATCCTCTGAAGCAACCATAAAGAACCCATCTGTGAACATGTCATAAGCCTCATCACCCATTTTGGATTTTACATGCCCGCAGATAAATCTAATTGATTTTTCTGTGATACAATAGGCCCTGCTTTTGTACAATCATATAAAATTGTAGCAGATAGGAAGGACATCCAGTAATAAACTTACTTCCAATTTACTTAATATCAACCAGGACTCCATGCCATCAGGTAATCATGGCTAACCCATACAAGCATGGAAAATGGCATAAAACATTGATGATGATGATGTGATTTCTAGATTAATGCATACAGGTACACATATTATCTTATCCTCCTCAACTACTATACTGTTTTACCCATTCAGTAATTTACCTTTACATTGTTCATCCATTGTTTCCTTTACTTTTACTCTTATGTTCTAGAATTCCTTACTCTTCACTTATCAATTGCCAACTTCCCATCATAGTTATTGTAAGTAGATTATATATTCCAGGTCTTTGAATTCTTCATAAACCTGTGATTGATATGATACTTGTACTAAGATATTTTTGTTTGGGATATTTTTTATGGGGTGAAAAGGAGTGTTTTCCCATGACATCTTTTGATCCATGGTGTTTAGTACTGTATTTGATTATGTAAGAAGGATTGGCTTAAGATTAAGCTTGTGCTGCCTTGCCTTCAGTGTAGGACAAGACACTGTGGTAGGGTTATTCACGTTTGTAGTTAATAATTTATTTTACAACCTTTACATTGTTTCACAAGTTTGGTGAGTAGCCGACCCCGGTGAAGAAGGATCAGCTTACCTCATGGTATTGGCAAGGCTACTGGGCAACATAGTGTACACCACAATACTGTCAGCCCCACCTGGACTCAGGACTGAACTTGTGTCATGTGTTGGTGTCCAGAAAAGTACCAACTGAGTAATAGTCTTTTAAATTCCTAACAATATTTATTTATATTTTCTAATATATTATGAAGTAACTATTGCTTCCTGTACAGGTTGATGTGCATAAAGAGAATGGTGATTGTAATAGTCCAAGTCGATTAATTGCGAGGTACGTGGATGTACCTGTGGTCGTCCCCAGCACTCCATCTTCAACCCACAATTTGCCCCCAACACCCAAATCCTCACGCCAGCACCAGACCCCTTCAAGCACTAGCAGGTACAGTATTACCGCTATACTTTCATTTTATATGTTTACCTACACTTCATTTCCAAAGAATAGTTAATGTTATTCGCTTAAAACTCTGGTACTCTTGGCCATGGTCAGAAATCTTACCCCCTCACAGTCTTTCGATGGGTCGGCAATAGGAATGTTTTTTTCCATTTTGGTAAACATTGGATAGAGCGATCGAGACCTAAATTGCACCCTTAGAAAGACATCTGCCAGCCCACGAGGCTAGTGAGAGGAACTTACTGTAGGTGTTTGATATTGCCGGTCCACTGTTCCTGTGTTTCTTTTTATGGAAGGGGTGCTCTCAGTGTGACATGCGGCTGAACAGGAGGGGTGGTACCTGCATAGGAGTGCTTAGCCATGCAATTTGTGTCGAAAGACTAGAAGATGGTTAAGCCTGATCAGAACATGAAGATACCTGTACAACTAGACATGAATAATTTAATGTTAATTCTTCCTATCTACTTACTATGAAGAGAAGTTGTTATATAGCATTAACATGCTCATGATAGCTTTTCTTTTTAATACAGGGTGTTTTTATTTTCTATTTTTTAAGAACCCTAAATAATTCCCATACACAAAAACTAAAACAGGTAGGAACCTAATATGATCCTGAGAGTTATCAGGCATCACATGATGTATCATGTGACCCATCAGTGGCATTTAACTGTTTTCACTCAATCACGCCACGGCGCTCGTAACAAACACGAACACAGTGAAGCACCATGGCGTGACTGAGTGCAAACCGTTAAATGCCACTGACGCATCACCCTCTCTCATCTTGGCGCACTACGCTCTCTCGCGGAGCGTCACAACGTCCCCCAAGCAACCCCAGTCTTTGTTAGGCTTCCACAGCGTTCGTGCGTGTTTAGTGTTTTTACTCTAAATACTGTACTGCAACCATTCAAAATGGCTTCCAAGCCCCCGTCAAGTGCTAGTGATGCTAGTGTTGTGAAGAAGTGACATAGGACCATTAGCCTGCCAATGAAAATGGAGGTTTTAAACTGCCTATCAGTGAGTACAATACAAAATTATATAGTTTATTTATCTTTTGGGATTTATAATATACTGTACAGTATACTGTTTTCAATCAAAATTTCATTGAATTTATGTATACAGTATGTAATGTATTTTATGGGGCAAAGGGAGGCTGGGAAACGTAACTCCCTTATTTTATCTATTTCTTAAGGGGAAAATTGATTCTGTTAACGTGGTTTCCGTTAAGGTCACGGTTTTCAGGAACGGAACCACGACATTAGAGGACTTGCTGTAATTTTAGCATTGAATCCCCCTTCCCTTGTGTTGGGGTGTGGGACTGGTAACCCTGTATTGGTTACCCCAAACAATTAAAAAAACAAAACGAGACAGGAAAAATTACTTGTTAACTGTAATCTGATTACAGTACCAACCATAAGTTTTCAGAGCAGTAATGATAACTAGTACAGGTAGTAAATATTTTATGATAGATTTTGATGTGAGAAAGAGATCTATTCTAGATTTTAGATGTGGCTATTGAGATTCCTTGAATCTTATCCACGTTAGGAGCTTCTTTCCTTCATGAATTGGGAAGGAAGAAGGTGGGGGCAGCAAACCTACTTTTAGCTTGCCTATCATTTTAGTAACACAGGTGCCCTGATTTTTTTTTTATACAGATTAAACAATTACAGCCTACCTGTTATTAATCATATACTGAACACCGATAGATATTTTCTGTAAAATCATATATACTAGCACTGAAAACAATCAGTATCTTGAGTATGAAATGGGGAGTTGGGCTCAGACTTACAGGATTTTTTTTTTTTTTTACGGGGATTAGCCCACCCGGGCACAGGTCACTGACCCACATCAGGACCTGGGGGGCGAGAATATAATAATAAATAATAATAATACACTGTATCTATTATTATTATTACAACAACAATTAATAAAATTAATAGCAAATTAATACAAATACAAATAAAATAAAATAAATAATAATTACCCGGTATAATAATAATAACCATAAATAAATACAAAAACGAAAAAAATAAATCAAGAGTGAGAAACAATATACATTATGTATGAGGTCTTACTCGGTCAGTTATCTACGTCAGTCTAAGACAGTGTTTCTCAAACTTTTTCACTTCATTCCCCCCATGAGGAACTCTCAACATCCTCGTGGCCCCCCTTCAGTTCTCTCCCAAGCCCCTCACAAATAATGATGAAAATAAACTGTTTTGTTTCTCTTCCTTTATTTTAAGGTTTTCAATCATCAAACAGAATGCATATTTTGTTACAGTTCAATGGGATGGATGACATTGTTTCCTTTCAGTCAGTCGACTGATTCGAGGTCGAGTCTCTGATAAAGCACATCTCATGTCTGGGTCCACATGTAACCGGTTTCAGCTTCTATTCTCTATTTGAAGAAGGTGGAGAAACCAGATTCACATAAATAAGTAGCAGAAAATGGCAAGAGGACTCTAAGTGCGATCTCACTAACTTTTGGATATGACTGATACATTGAGCACCAGAATACAGTCAGATTTTTCTTCATAGAGGTCTCTGGCAGCAGAATCGTTCTGAGATCAAGGAATTCGTCTGAACAGGAACTAGAATCGTGCAATCTGAGTGAATCCGTTGGAAATTAAAAACTAGCTGCTGCACCATACTATGTAAATAACAAAACCATACCATATGGGTATTATGATTAAAAAAAAAAAAAAAAAAGTTTCTCCCCTCACAAGGCAAAGTAAAAAAAATAAAAGGTTGAATCAGAGTTTCCACATTTTCTCCAAACATATACTGCTTACACTAGCCTGCCATGGCGCCCCTAAAATCTTGCCATGACCCCTCCTTGGGGCCATGACTCCCCCTTGGGGGCCATGGCCCCCAGTTGGAGAAACACTGGTCTAAGATTATCAAGACATCATAGAAACATTTCGTTGAATTGCAAACTTTAATTTTTAGAGTGTAAGTGAGTTTGAGTGCAGGACTGAGTATCTGAAATGGTAAAGAATAAAACAATAGAGGTAGATTGATGTAATTGCCGATGATTGCAGCGCACACTTAGGTACTTGTGTTTTCCTACATTAGGTGGTGCGTGGAACCACGTCGCGCACTAAATGTGGGTATGGTGACTGAGGCCACCTCACTGCCATCAGTAAAGTCGTAAGTTTGCTTGTTATTATCAGTGGCTGCTTAGTTTAATGTTCTTTAACTAAATTTATGAGTGAACATCTTGTGTGCTTTGTTAGTAATAAAAATGTATAGGTGGTGGAAATACTTTTGGGCACAACAAATAAATATTGTTAGAATTTAACTTTCTTCATGATAAAAACAAAGTTCTGTACATCTCTTCAAGCAGCTTCTTTTGAAACTAATAATCAATAAATGTCTGTGCTAGCAATATAAACATAGGTAAAAGTTTATTGTGTATAACCTCTGGTTAACTCAACTTTTTTCTATTAACCCTCAAATTCATATAACTTATATATGCTTAGATATAAAATATTCTGGATGGAAAGGTATTTAGATAGGTGTAGACTCATGGATCATGACATAGCTATAGATGGGTGTAAATCATATGGCTAGTGGATCATAACAGATGGGTGCCTCATTACAGATATGAAAATCAATTTAATTTATGGAGAATATATATGATAATGTAATTACAGATAAGAACATAGAGAGAACCAGCACAATTTGAGAGTGAACGATACCAAACACCCCATCTGTCACCCTCATGTGGGCATGAAAATGTAAATTAGAAATAGAGTAAGAGTGATAGATGGGGTGTTTGGTATCCTGCACTCTCAAATTGTAGGTAAAGCAAAGATATTGTTGTCCTACTTTTTCAAACCACATGTGTGAGAACTGGTGCTGTAGTCACACTTTACAGGCACCATTTTTACTACCATTAACCTTTAGAGCCACTTTACGGTGAACAAATTTGTGTGGGTATGGTTACTATGGTGATTATAATTTATAACCATAAATTAAATATACTGTACATTCATGATTTCTTCAATGATTAGATTGATTATTAACTGCCAAGGATAAAGCTTCCCCTTACTCCAAAGAAATGTAAGAAAAGGATATTCATTTGTAAAGGAACAAGCTCATCCTACAGTATTTAGGTCATGAATCTTGCCCCAAAATTCAAGTGGCCTACATTATTCTTAAATCTTGTGGTGTTTATAAATAAAGTATTTTTCAGATCAGTGGAATCATCCCGCAGCCTGACTACAATGTCATGCCAGCAGACTCTTTGCCAAGCAACTCCTCGAAGTAGCACACCCATTGAAGATGAATCGAGATTAGATGCTCTAACAGGAGTTGACACTATGGTGAAAGATTCAAACAAAGTGTGTCTAGAAGATGCATCTGTTGAGTCTTCTAGCCCTTGTATTTCAGAGGATGAGGAGGAGGATGATGATAATGATGACGACAGTGATGATGATGATGACGACGACAATGATGATGACAATGATGATCCTACAGAAAGTGAAGAGACACAACAGTCAAGTAGGAAAAGTTACTGTGTGCTTATGTAGAACTACCAATGATGATATACTTAATGGTTTTATCATTTCTGGATGATGGTAAATGTCACCCCATCTCCATTTCTTTGTTTTATTGTGAGATTAATTCAAGCAGAGTCAATTACTGTCTTCCCATTGCAAGGCTTATACTGTACTGCATAACTATTCCTCGTTACAGCTTATTGGATCAACCTTTGTTCATTCACGCTGTGTATCCGTGAGAGTTACTGCTTTACAAAAGTGAATGCTTAAGTCTCTATATATTAGATAAATATACAGTACTGGCATTGAAGGGTTATGATGCATATTGAATGGTCAATTCTCGCCCAAATTTTAAAAGACACTGACTGGCTGCTCTGCAATATATAATTTCAAGTATGTATAAATTTTTGTATGTCACTTTTTAGATTGGTGTGAAGAACATGTAATTGCATAATATCACACAAGTAGGGTTTTACAAGTTACATGCACAAGATGTATATACCGTACAATTTTTTTATATAGAAACTTTAGGTATTATGATGGCATGGATACACAAGAGGTACAATTCTTTCCCAAGATGGCCAGCTAAGTAATTTTTTGGTCATAGTTAAATTTTTACATCAATGCTTCTTAAACTTTTTTTAGTGCCTTCACCCTCGAGTCTTTATTGCAAAATTTCGATAGTTTTCCATTTTCATTTCTCTGTATATACTGTACAATTATACATGACGCATTGTTGCATAGTTTGAAAAGACAACATAAACTAATTTCATATTTTTTTTTTATTATTATACCACCTGAACAAAACAGAAAAACAAAAAGATTAATCATCACACACTAGTTACTGTGTTTAAACCATGAAATAATTTCTAAGTTTTTTTTTTCTCCACAAGAAAAAAACTGATAAGCAATGGATGACAAGCATTACACATTCTGATAAACATTATTAAATATGTTTAAAACATCCCTGGCTGGGGTGTTCCTGTATTCTTGTGAAAAGCTTCTCAAATCAAGGCCCAATTCCCATCTCCAAATTACACCGAATCAACGTCAAAAGCCCCTGTTGAGACACATACATATTGTAGTTGCCATCATCACTAGTACATAAAGGGCCTTCATAGCAAATTAATTTGTCATCAGGAAATTCTAGCAATCCAACCCAATAGTGTCCTAAGAAGGAGCACATTTTAGAAAACAAAATTTTGGTGAAGTTGTAGGGGAGAGTATCATGGTGAAGCTTCATTAACACCTCCATGTCCTGTGCATCCTGCTGATGAAATATGCTAGAGAGCAACTGTAGATTGGATGAAATTATGCCCTTCAATAATTTCTTCAGATTGTTTTTCTTCCCTGTGTAAAAATCTTCAAAATTCAGTATAGTTTAACTCATTCATCCTTATTGCTTCCTTCACCCCTCAAGTTCCATTCATCCCACCAAATATTTAATTCACCTATGGCTGAACGAATCACCAGTTTAAACATACAGTACTGCATTGGGTTAACATGTGGCTCTTTTTATATACACTGCTGTCTGAAGTACAGTTCAAATAAGTTTAGATCTCATTTGAAAGAAAATGGTGACTGCTACAAGGGCTGGATAAAACTCAATTGTTTAGGGGTGTAAAGTGTACCTGAATTTTTATTTTTTTTATCTTTTGCATGTGCCTATATGAACCATATGTGCCTACCACAACTTTATCTGGCCGTGGCTGCTACACTGTGAAGTTTATTCTCATTATGACTACGGTATGTGTTGGCCCTATTAGCTCGTGGCAATTATTGGAGAAGCCTTACCAGCCATTTTCATGTGATCAGAAATATTGTACAAAAAAAAAGACAAGTGTTAATTAGTACAAAACAAATATGCAATAGCTCTTTTTATGTTGCCAACGTTTTGCAGGTAACTAAACCAGTCTCTAAACCCCTTTGATATGAGGAGTCTGCTTTTGTAAAATAAAATAGTAAAAGTGACATCCTGTAGTTAAGGGGTTAATTCTGTGACTGTGCTGGTCTACTTGTTTGCTCATTTATACTCTGATGAGTAGTTTGGTTTCTGGCTGACAAACTTTTAGATTAGGTTATGAGCAGTAATTTTAGAAGTCTTTTTATGGAGATTAGTCACAGGTCAGAGGCAGGATTGAAGAATCTTGTTTCCCCACAAGCATGGTGTACCAATACATCTGGGGAAATTCTCACAAATGATTGTGAAGCATTACATTTTAAGTACTGAGACCTAATATCCTTGACCGCCTTATGTAGGATTACAATAGGTTTCAATACCTGAGGTCCTCAACTTACAGTATAAATACTGAGCTCTTAATAACATCCTAGGGTTGATGTGTCTTTTATTGCCAATTTGCAATTTGAGGCTGTCAATAAAGTTGTACTTAACTAATATAATAGTTATCTAAAATGTTTAGTTTGAAAAATAAAAGTTTCTTAATGCAACATTCCAGACCATTTATTTATATTTTACTTGCATATGAACTTTGCAGATAATTTTTATGTATATATAAATTAACTACAGTACTTATAAGACCAGAAATACTAATATTTAATTGAAAATAAGATTTATTTTACATTTGTATGAGAAGAGCCATGTTCATCAGTACAGTCGGCCCTTAACATACGCGGTGGTTACGTAACAGAGATACCCGTGGATGTTAAAAATCCGCTTATATGTGCTGCCTCCCCTCCCCCAAAAACTGGTCCCCCCATGTCCTTATTTACCGTATATACCTGTGTGTAATTCAAGTTTTTAAGACCAAATTATTTGGCAAAAAATTGGGGGTCGACCTCTAAACGGGTAATAGTTTTGTTAGGTTGAAAAATATTTACCAGTAACTACCAGTAAACAATGGAAATGATGCACCAACGCACCACCAGCTGTGAGTGTCGGTACAGTTGCCAGGGCAGATCTCTTGCGTCATCATAGCAAGCCCAAAGTAGCCAAATCCATGGTATGGTAGCACAGGACGATGTAAAACAAAGTATTCATTTATTAAAGTTTATTTACAGATACTGTACATAAATTTTTGTTCATTACATTTGAAACATCAATCTTTGTTAATTAAATTTGAAACAAAAGAAAACTACGATACCGTATTTTCATTAAAATATTATATCACAAGTATATTTTACCTTAACTGTGACTGAATGAATATAGGTATTCTCAGAAATAAATATGAAAATATAATATTTTTGCTGGAATGACGTACATATTACAGTGGAAAGTGGGATAAAATCATGAAAACAATGACTTTCGCTTTCTTTCGTTATTCAAAAGATTTTACCGTAATCGCTTTTCGAATGGTTTTCAGTTAAAAAACTGTTGTACTCGTACTGTATTACAATAATATTCTATCCTATCATTAGCCTTATAATCCCACAACTGAAAACCATTCGAAAAGCGATTACGGTAACATCTTTTGAACGAAAGAAAGAGAAAGTCATTGCTTTCGTCACAATTTTATCCCACTTTCCACTGTAATACGTACATCATTTCAGCAAAAATATTACATTTCCATGTTCTCAGAAATAAATGGTAGTTTTGTTGAAACGTAATGTACAATATTTAATATTAAAATGCAAAAATAGCTATAAAAACAATTAATACACCCGTAATGTACTGGCTGGCATCTCCACTCGTCCCTGCTCCCGCGTCCAAGGTCACCACTCCTCCGCTCCCTCCTCCACCTCCTCTGCCTCCGCCACCCCCTCTGCCTCCTCCACCTCCTCACCGTCACTACTGCCGACAACGAACACAAATGTTTTGTGAATAACTGCACCTCCACTTCCTATGTACAGTACTGAACTGTACTGTGCTGTGCATTTTTACAAACAATAAACATGGCAAGAAAAGCTATTAAAAAAAAGAGATAAAAATTTCACTTTCCTGTACAGTACCTATCCTCGGCGACAGGACGGGGGTCATTGGGCTCATCGTCACTCAATTCCATAACGAGTGGTGAAGTGGGGGCGATGGTGGATTCAGCTGCTTCCTCACTGCCGCCAGTGATTGATGGTGTTAAATCTCTCCTTCGGTGATCAAAGAACATGGTGATGGGGAGTTGTCGTCTCTTTCTTTCATTTCTTCCATGATGCTTTTGTATGGAGTGAAAACGTCATCCATCCCTCGCATGAATTTCAGGGCACGCACCATGGAGGGCTCCATACTATAGGCCAGGTTTTTCAGTGCCTCAATATTCCTGGTCATCTCCCCCAACTTCTCCAATGTTATTTCTTGGTGCTCTTCCTCATCCTCTTTCCCTTTCGCTTCCTCTTCCTTGCCTGAGTCTACTAACTCCTGTAGATCCTCCTCGGTCAGCTCAGTGTTGTGCTCTTCAATTAGCTCCCTAATCTCGTCCTCTGCCATGCCCTGGAAGCCTTCAGCAGCCACTTTCATTGACAGTGCCAGGGTCTTTCTGAATATTTTCATTAAAATCCATCAAAATCATTTCCCTTGTCATCGTCATAAGCACCAAACAGCTCCTCCCAGTCTTCTCCTTGAACAGGGCTAGAGGGTACATGTTTTTCGAATCGTTTTCAATTAAAAAAATGTTACAGCACATGTATATTTTACCTAAACTGTGCCTGAATGAATATATTCTCAGAAATAAATAGTAGTTTTGCTGAAACGTGATGTATTTCAATGTAAAATAGGATAAAATACATGACGAAAACAAAAGACTTTACCTAACCTTCCAATGTTCAAGAGATGTTACTCGTTTTTTTAATAGTTTTCGGTTAAAATACTGTTATATTACAATGATATTATATTCATACTGTGCTTGATATACTACATTCACGGAAATGTAATATTTTTGCTGAAATGACGTACGTATTACAGTGGAAAGTGACGAAAACAACGACTTTCGCTTTCTTTCGTTCAAAAGATGTTACCATAATCGCTTTTCGAATGGTTTTCAGTTAAAAAAACTGTTGCATCACAAGTGAATTAGGATAGAATATTATTGTAATACAACAGTTTTTTAACTGAAAACCATTCGAAAAGCGATTTTGGTAACATCTTTTGAACGAAAGAAAGCGAGTCATTGCTTTCGTCACTTTCCACTGTAATACGTACGTCATTTCAGCAAAATATTACATTTCCATATTCTCAGAAATAAATAGTAGTTTTGCTGAAATGTAATGCATTTCAATGTAAATTAGGATAAACTACATAAACAAAAGACTTTACCTAACCTTCCGATGTTCAAGATAGGTTACTCGTTTTTTTAGTTGTTTTCGGTTAAAATACTCTTATATTAGTGATATTCTATTCATACTGTGCTTGATATAATACATTCACGGAAATGTAATATTTTTGCAACTACAATGCTGATGTCAACACAAGCGTGGTTACAGCGAAACTGACTGAGTGAGGGAGAGCTATGCGTGTGAGGTTGCGGGAGCGGGCGGTGTCCCGTGTTTGGTGCCGCGCGCAAGTTGAATGGCGCGCGATTTGAATGTACTTCAATGTACAGAATATTCCTCCGGCGGGGCAATCCGTGTGTTAAGGGCCGACTGTATAATGTTAGAATCAGTTTATCTCCAGTAATTAATATGTTGTATATATGAATGTACTGTACTTGCAGAACTACTGTATGCTTTTTCTCTGACACGATTCCTTTTTTTTTTTTTTTTTTTACAATACTGTACTGTACTGTAGTTGCCTTTCCTGGTTGAGTTAGTTGATGGTCTTTAGATGAAATTGCTACCCTGGATCTTTTCTTCCATACATCTCGCAAATCTTTCCTCTTTTCCGAATCCACTT